CAGTTGTTGACATTTATACTGACGCCTCATCGGCAGGGGAGAGTCCTCAGAACGATGGATTAGACTCCATGTGATCGGGTCAGACTATGCATAAAATGAACGATAAGCAGCACCATCTTCTGAATTGGAACCGCAGCTCCGTAAAGTGAGTCGAAGTAGGATCCTGGAAGATAGAGAAGGCCCGGTTCAGATCTTGGTAAGGTGTAGGAACAAACTTCTGCTGACTATCCTGATTGCAGCTTCGCTGTCAAAGCTGCCAGATGTGAATAAGTCAGGCGTAACACAATTTGATGAAGACGAGAAAACATCCGGCAGCTGGTGATTCCTGTAACCGTGATTCCATCCTATGGATGGAATCAATAGTGCGTTGCAGTTGTTGAGTCCTGATACACTCAGCGCTGTCGACGAGGCTGGCATGTCTTCTGGCATGCCCTTACGTCACAGTCACGACGTCTTCTTCTTGAGAAACCTTCAGAGTATGAACTGAAGTTGATTGTGGCTGATACGAGCTCGAGGACTACAAGATATGACTGATATCATCTCCCAAGCCGATGAGAGATTGAAAGGTTCATGAGTGCAGGAATCAAGAGCTCGACTGCTCCAAAATACTCAATTTGGCCACGGCAATGTCCGCGACCAAATCTGAGACCAACACAGATGGCCGATGTGTACATTTGAGGTACCCAGAGTTTGAAGGAGAAACAGAAAATACGTTAAAATTGTGAAACTGTTTCTCTCCAAAAGTGAGTCTCCTAATCCCGCGAGCTGCTACATTCCCTGTCGCGGACGCGAATGCAATCCAAGGGAGAATCGTCATTGTGTCTTTTTCATACTTTCCACCATGTTTGACGTCAAGAGAAGCCAGTAGTACCTGCCTGGAATGTTTTGAGACGTAATTAATATAATAGCAAGATTAGGATAGTAGATTAGTTTTCTCTTGTGTTATTTGCTTATACACGGCGCCTATCTGGTAATGGTATAATCTGCGAACCACTCATTATAGGTAAAGTCAATGGAATTTGCATCTTACAACATAGAAAGTCCAAGGGTGTAAGCAGCTGAACAAAACAGGAACGAAAAAGGAAATTTTTGGTCGGATGAAGTTCATATTCTTGGGATTCATGGGGTGTTTTCTGCAGGACTTCCCATTCCTGGTAACATCAGATTTCGGTTGTTCTACTCGAAGCCTGTAATCTAGTTTCAGAGAATGCCGCATTCATGAAGTTTAAGAGAATCTGAGCACCGAGAAACTTCATGTGCATTTAATTTATTTCTTTGTCCAGCGTCAAAGAATTTCGTCCAAGTGCGATCTTATATATATATATATATATACAGTATTTACTGACTCGAATACAAATCATTCGACTATCTGCATCCCATGTTTAGCCAATGGCATCTAAGTTTGACTCTTACATATCATTAAGACAATGAAACAATTATAGTTGATTGGAACGCATAAAGATCAAGTTTCAAGTTTTTGTAATGAGTATATTCGGAGTAATAATGAGTTGCTATCAACATATATACTAAAATTTTTACAACCGGTGAAGAGAATCTGAATTAATTTTTTTTTTTTAAGCCATCACTTGCATACTTTGTTTGCTGTTCTAGTTTGTATTTATTCATGTACATAGGTCAGTAACTAGAAATTTTGTACGAATTTCAAAAATTCGAATGTGTCATTTGATACTCATACAATGATGTAATTATATATATATATTTTAGTAATTTAAATAATTCGAATTATAGTTTTCATTTTTTATGTTTATCGTCTAGACGACGGTGGCGTACAAAAGTGACCGATAGATCAGAGTTGTTGACAAGTTCGTAAGTAACAAATGTGGTTGATCAATGGAAGCAATAACCGTCGAGCAACCATATAATATCAAAGGTCAAATGTCCTCATTAACGTCCAGTCCATATCAAGGAGACGAAATGAGCGTCAAGAATCATTCTACAACGCAATTTGAATATTTGTAATCGAATCACATTTTGTTCTGTTTTAGTTGACTCCTCTCCATTCTTCATCTTTAAACATTTCATATAAATAATATGAATTTCAGTAGATCTGAAAGGTTGAAAAAATGAAGAAGAAAAATATCATAGAATACATGTATATGTTCGACTAAATTCTTTAAGAATACTCGAATTTTCGAATAAAATATATGTTTAGTCAACAAATATATATATAAAATAAGATTGAAGCTTGAATTTAGTTGAATTACTTTGTTTTCCAATTCAAATATTTGTCAAAAATGAAATTTTATTGAGAAATTTTTAAAAAATGTATAATATCAATGAAAATTACGTAGTGAATATTTTTTATCAATGGCTGTATATTATATAAATTTTTTTTTGGGATAGATAATAGTTTTAAAATAATTTGTAATTAATAAAGCGTGTGATTACAAAGTTTTCACTATAATTGATGAAATCGTAAATTCACAAGCAAATATATTTGATTGTCATGATATGAGTCAAGTGTTATGTTATCTATAGTGCAATGACAAGACAACCTTGCATACTCTAAGTTTTATGATTTCAAATTGATTGTTAGATGCTTATCAGACCTACATTTTTTTCATTCATGATTTTGAAGTTGTTGATATGAATTTATCATTGAATGTTTGACTTACTTGCAATTTACATATTCACTCTATTTTTTCTTCATTTGATGATTATTTCATTTCATTTGATGAAGTCAAAAGAATTAAACAAACATAAAAAATGATATTAATGAAGTTTAATTTTTATGCTCATTTACATATCGTTAATATCATGAACATAATTTTAACAAATTCATGAATGTAACAACTAATAAATAATTGTTAATGTATAAAAAAATTCTACACACATTTGTTATTTTTTGTAAAAGTATGAGATTTTGTTAAGGTTTGATGCATCAAGTTTATTTTTTTTGATCATGAGAATATATATATAGTAATTATTTTGATATACATAATTCATTGAAGTGCATAGTATGATCAATCATGATGTAATCAAAAATGTGTTTGTAATTATGTGTTTTGGTCATAAAACTTATGAGTTCAAAAGTATCCATTAGAAAATAAAATTGTGATAATCATGAAATCTACACATGATATGGTTTTAAAAATAAAAATAATTCTTTTTTATGAAGTGTCCACAATCAATTTCATCTCTATTATCCCTCTTTAGTCTATTCTATGTAGTTATAAATGCAAATTAGATATATTAGTGAGACAGAATTAGCAAAAAAAGTATCAATTGTTTAGTTGATTGATATTCAGTGTTTAATAATCAGTTTTAAACTTGTAGTGTAATCTATGATTTAAGTGTCATTGTTCTATAGAGTTCACTAAGCATTATAGTTGATTAAGTGTTGGTGTTTTGGAACAAAGTAAATCTTATTATTTATTGGAAAAATACAAGAATAAATATCTCATATCTGCCAACTAAAATATCAAAAAACTATTCTACTCAATCACGCTCAGAAAATATTCTGCATGTAGAATAGAATTTCTTTCCATTGATATATATATAGTAAAAATAAATTTGATATATTCTAAAAATCAATGTTTTAATCTTGTATACACAAAAAACAAAAGTGCTGCAAGACGATTGATATTTCAAGTTATTGAAATTACAATCTCTGCAATCTACTTTGAATTGGCAAAACAATTCTTTGTGTAGCTTCAAATATTTATCTATTACCAACTCTAAAGAGTTTACATTTTAGCTTAATATATATGGATATATTAATCACGTGTCATCGGAATAAGAATATGTAAATAACGATTGTGCGATGATCTATTTTCATGTTGACTTCATGTCAGTCACAAGGATTTGGATGTATCATATGTATTTGGATTTGCCATGCTAGCTCCCATGCGAAAGTGAGCGGAAGCCAGAAGCGCTGCTGGCTTAAACATGGACCGTTGCATGTCCAATTTAACAACTGTACAACCTACCAACAACTCCCCCCAAGATGCCATACCCTTTTGTTTCTTGTCCTCAGAAATCAAGTCCCGCTTCGTAGAAGAACTGCGCTCTATACTATATCTGAAGTGGAATATTCTTATTTGAATTTAATACCTCAGTCAGACCCAATCAGTTTTTCACTGGAGTAGCTCTCTCATGAAATCTATGGCACCGCATGGTATTAGTAATAACTTGACGAGCAAATCTGGTTTCTTGGACAAGGATGAACTTCTTTTGCCAGAACACTTTCAGGTGCCGACTGGATTCACTGAGATTTTCCAACACCTGTGATAGATGGAGCCTGAAGAATCTGAAGTAACTTTGATGGACAGCCAGAATCTGGGAACGACCTCCAACTGGTATATTGGGTCACATGCCTCTGAAGTTTTCGAAAAAATGACAATGAATCTCGTTGATAGCTGTTCCCATGGGAATGCATGTAATATCTCCAACTTCGAGTGGTGTATAACTTGAACTATTGCACGGCCATCAGATCATCACTTTCTCAAACATCAGCTGACTGACACTAGTGGCCGGTTGTTTAATGCAAATTAGAGAGAAAATGCAGGCCTTAGAAGAGCAGGCATTCACATGAAAGAATCAAAGAAGTGAATAGGAGATCTGCTCAACCGACACTGATAATAATCTACCCGCTGAATAATCACGAAGCTGGTGGATTATTAGAGCTACCAATCAGCAGTGGAAGTCATTGCAAGATACGAGATCGTTCTTATACAACGAAGGCGATGCAAGTGTGAAGCTGGAGGGTACAGGCTCCAGCACAGCAGTTTGCAAAAGAAAAGTGCATGACTTGCCACATGTCAATTGTCGGATCAGCCACCTGAGGACGGAGAGTACTTACTTACCGTACGTGGCTCCAACTTCCGGTTGCCATGCTGGACGTCGAGCCCATTTGACACCCGGCCGCCAGCCAATGTGACTTCGAGTTGACGTTTGAACGGAGGAAATTCGCCTTCACCATCTGAATGCAGACTCGAATTCTGATATTCAGACAGGGCATATAAAATCGCGGAGTCGTGCCACCCAAATCAGAAACAGTCCATCACCCTCCTCTTGAATTTCGGAGCTCACTCTGCAGCTCAGCTTAGCTCAATCATCTCTACACTCGCACTCTCCACTCAGTCCGAGGCACAGGTTCCGAGTTCTCTTGACAGAGACATTCAGTACAGGGCTTAGTTGCAATCTACAACACATACAGTAGTATCAATATGGCATCTATGCAAGAAGAACGATCCACCTCCGTAGCTGAGGAAGCGAGGCAAGGACTAGAACAGCAAGCGAGAGAGACACAGCAAAAATTGGGAGGATCTGAAGCAACAACAGTTATTACTGAGCAGATCGCCATCCCAGCTGAGCTCAGCCAGAAGAGCAAAGAGGTATGGAGCTGGATGACTCTCGCATATTATCTTGTTAGTATGACATCTGTCCTGCATTCAAGCAAGTTTGTTGACTTGAGGATTCTGAGTTTCTTACAAGCAAGGAGACTCTGAAGCCGCTAGGTGGTAATGTAGCTGTGGTTTGTTTACGTGCACATGAAAGTGTAATCAATTCGACGAGAAATTTGGAGTTGCTATATATTGAGTTGCATTTATCGTTTGTGCAGCATATCGACTTTTTGGAATCTGAGAATGCAAGACTCAAGAAGAGCTTGGAACAATGCGAGGAGGCCTTGGAGATGGCGAACCAAGAGACAAGCAAGTCCAACGAGCAGCTGAAGGAAGTCAAGGGCCAGAACGCCGAGCTGCATAACAGAATCGCTGACTTGGAAAATCAAGTCCAGTCCGCCGGTGCCAAGGCCAAGGAGTTAGAGATGCTACTGAAGGAATCCGATCAGAAGTATGCTGCCATGGAGGACAAGATGCGCGCCTACCAAGAGAAGCTGGGCGTTGCTAGGGAGGATCGTGCTAAATTTGAGAAGGATCTCAAGGGAGTCCACGTCGGACTGCAGGACCGCGAAATGAAAATGGAAGACCTCAGCCAGCAAATTCCCCAAAAGGAAGCTGTCATCGACGATGTTTCGAAGGAAGTAAGGATTTCAACTTGTTTCCATGAATTAATTACCATTCTGTTTCACAGTGCTCTGAATCCCGCCACTTCTTCTCTGTGTTGCAGACTTAGCTTCATCTCATAGATGGTTTAGTTTGCAATCACGGCGATCGAGAATTTGGAAAAGAATTATTTTAGAAAATCGCATTCAAACAATGTTCAAAGAGCTTTGCATATGCTCAAAGTTTCCTCGTGGTTTATGATGATGCAGGCAGAGGAGTTCAAATCTCGAGCAATTCCAGCTGAGGAGAAGGCATCAGAGTTGGATAGTCGTGCAACAGAGCTGGAGTCTGCCTTGGAACAAGAGAAAGAAAAGTCTGCCTCACTGGAAAGTGAAGTGAAGAGCCTGCGCGGGAAGCTTGATGCAGATGCAGGCCATCACAGAGTGTTGGCTGAGCGCATCGACGAGCTCGAGAAAGTTCTGCACGGCACCCAGGAGGAGAAGGATGTGACAGTGAGCAACCTCGAAGGTGAAAAGGAGGATCTGAAGGCTGCCAAGGCAGCTGTGGCTGACAAGAAGGAGAACGAGAAGGCCGAAGTTGAATCTGCAGCTGAAGACCAAGCCGCCAAGAAAGACGAGGCACGGGCTGAGGCCAAGACTCAGGAGCAGGAGAAGAGTGGCGTGTGGTCGAAGATGTTGGGTGCTTTCTCCAAGGCCGACAAAGAGGAGAAGATTGCCCAGGACAAGGCTGCCGAGGCTGCCGAGAAAGGTGAAGTTGCTGCCAAGCAGGGTGAGAAGGCTGAAGAGAAAGAATCTGTTGCCAAGAAGGCTTCCGGTAACCAAAAGACTTTGGCAGCTGAGTTGGATGCTTCTCGCTCCAAGGCCGTAGCTGGTGAGCGCGCTGCAGAGGAACTTCAAGACAAGGAGGCTAAATTGGAGGAAAAGGAGAGTGCATTGAAGAACCACGGTGACAAGCTTGCGGAATTGTCTTCCAAGCTCAAGAACTTGCGCCTGGAGCGTGACGAGGCAGTGAAGAAGAGCGAAGGCGTTGACGGCAGGTAAATTCCAGTTCCTGGATTACACATTTCACCAATTCTAAATACTGCCCTTCTCCATTCCATTATTATTTCCCAGTGCTGACGTTATATTCCTCTTGCTCTGCAGAATTCAAGATCTAGAGTCTAAAATTGCGGAATTGGAGTCAGAGGTGTCTGAATTGAGGGAGACCAATGCCGATCTTGAGGCTCAGCTTCAGAAGGTCGGAGTCCAGGTAGAGAAACGTCAGAAGGCCGTCGCAGGTCGGGAGAAAGCTAACGTGAAGAAGTCAGAGCAAGCCCAAAAGCTTCAGCAGGAAGTGAAGGAGAACCAGCAGGAGGTGAATGAAATGGACAAGGAGTTTGTCGAGGACGTGAAGACAGTGTAAATAAAATGAAGAGATTTCCACATTTTTCAGGATCAGTAGGCTTGATGCCTACTGACCTTCTTTCGATCAGAGTTTCAAGCTGAGGCAAGCTAGTGACAACCATCTTCCTGCATCGTGGAACATGGTTTCATATTACGGAAACGACAATTTGAAGTGCCATTCTGACACTTTGACGTCACGGTTGTAGAGTACATTTGGTATAAATTCTGGATTTCATATTTAGCTCTTCGTAGAAACGCTTATGGCAGAGATCTCGAAATATGTTGCTGGTGTAGCTTCTTTAAGGGCATACGCCCTTATATGTAAATCGTATGTGTAATAAATGATCTACGCTTTTCTAACGAAGTGATATATTTACGTTGAATGTGACATTATCAAACGCCGTGAGGATATTTGACTTCTTTGATTAACTGTGAAATAAAGTGTTATTGAGATCTACAAATTACAATCATATTTGCATTTCTGAGAAAGACAGAAAAAAATGAACTTTTAGTTTTCATTTTCGTTTTCATTTTCATATTCCTACAACTCTCATAAAAAAAAAGGAAGAACCAAAATGTTTGTTCGCAGAATTTGTCCAATATAATCCTAAAATAGTACTCTCTGCAAGTCTAATCTATACATTAATATGATTTACTTTGATGAGAGAATGGGAAAAAGGTGTTATATAAACATTGTCAGTTACAGATAGTGTCAAAATTAAACTGAAGCTTTTAGAATCGAAAATGGTTATAAAATCACAGTTGCAACATAATATGTTGCAACTTATTATGTGTCGAAGAAATAAAATTCAGAAGAAAAATATTTAAGGAGGATTTTTGAAAGAAGCATCTTGTTTACCACCATCATATGATACGAAGTAAATATGTACGATTTCGTAGCTGAACATAATTCTCCGGTATGAACTTTGAATCCTGCTAGAAACATGGGAATTCTTACACTTGTTTTTGTTGCATACATTCTACTTCCGTTTCAATTGAACCTCGGAAGTAAGCCCGAAGTGGTGATACTAAGCCAGACGCACTGAATTTGAGCACCTGAATTCCGTTTGACCAAGCCCATGCTTCTGGCCCAGAATGTGGTCTTTTTTCCTGGGGATCTCTTTCTGCTTCGTGCGTGCAGTCCAGAGGCCAACATTTTACTTCAAATCTGCACCCAGACCAGACTATAATCATCAGCAGCGACCTAAGCCCACCCATGGAAAAATAATGTCACCCAAAACCCACCCAAAACCCATGGGCATGGGTGGGTTTGGGCATGGGCACCCAATGTTGGGGTCTGGTGCTGTCTTAATAATTGCCAGGTTTTGCTCGGTGAAAGGGTGGCCGCCTCTAGCGTTCTTGAAAGCTGTGGCTTTTAGAAAGAAGGGAATTGAGAAGAGCTTTGAGTGGCACTAAAAGCCTGTCTGCTGGGAACATTGGCTATCATAACTCTTTTGCGCAGTAGGAATCATTGAAACAAGAAACCACTTCACCATCGAAAAGGAAGCTTCGGGCCTACAACATTGATGACAATCCTGGCTTCTACGTTATGAAAAGATTCCGGTAAACTAGTGACAGGACTCGAGGAGTTCTTCTTCCAAATCCTCGAACAATACATGTAGCTTTCCAGTTGTAGATGGTTCTAGTTTTAGCAGGATCATACTGAAGTCCATCGCTGCCGAAAATACTGAAAAGCTGGTGAACACTGGAAAGGCCAGGGTCAGGTCACACGTGTCGTTCGATCCTGATACAGTTCGAACTTCAGTCCATGCTCTGGCTTAACTTTCCACCTTATGCAAGCTGAGCATTGGCGAGCGAATGGGAGGCTCACGAACAACACTCTGTTACTTCATGGTCCCCGGAGCTGGAACGCCAGATTGCAGCCTATGCATGTAATGTACTGCGATGATATGCTCCTAAAAACTGATCCTTGCCCACAACCTTGCCTCGTGATACGCATTGACTTGAACACGACACGTATTGAAAAACTATCTGACTGCAAAGTGTGGCTCAGCAGTTTGCTCGACACCTGCTCCTGGGATACGGCATGCATGGGCGCGGTATTGTAGGTCACGCTTTGGATATTGTGCTCGAATGAGTGACGAGAAACTTATACGTTTTGATATCGATTGCAACTCGATGCTACTTTTTTTGATAGCCTCGAAGAACGAACAGCCTCGATTCTTCGTGTTTCTTTCCACATGTAATCAATTCGTTGGTTGCTTGAAGTGCCCACGTTCTCATCTTCAGTGCTATGTGGAGTATATATAGCAGCAAGCGGCACTCTCTGGAATATTGCATCCATCTCTAGATCTTACGAGCTTCAAGACGCTGACAAGTTTCACAATCCCGGATCTCTCTTCAAATCTTTGTTATCGACTCACTCTACAGATTCTCAGTGCAAAGATGTCGTCGCAGCAGGAGCAGAGAAATGTGAAGGAGAGCCACACGGAAGAGGCGGAGCCGAATCAAGCGCAGGTTGACGAGACTGAGCAAGTCCCAGCGGCAGAGCAAGACGTCGATCAGACTGCGCAGACGCCAGAGGAAGGCAAGAGCTACGCAGACGCAGCGGCGGAGGAGTCTCTGAAGGTGTCGAAGGATGAGCAAGACGAAGTCATGCAAAAGCTGGGAGCAGACTCGACGCTCGAGGCTTCTGCCGAAGGTGAGGAGCTGAAGGTCCGACCCAAGGAGCTCTGAATCACCCAAGCAACAGCGAGCGAGCGATGCTTTTCTGTGCAACGTCCAGAGGCTTTCAGTGTCTCTCTTACACCTGAAGGCCTCGGGTCCTGAGACCTGCATCACTCTGCTTTTTACGGAACCACCATCTTCGGTGGGCACAGAGAGTAAGAGACCGTGGTCTGCACTGCAATGGTAGAACATCAGGGAGTAAGGATCAGGGTGATCATCCAAATGTAACAAATTAGCGACGCATCTGCATCTCGTCAGTGTCGTCTCTGGAATGGAGACATGGGACCTGCTGCTGTCGAGAGTGATTAGAGTACAACTTTGAAGCTAGTCTCGCTTGTTTAATTAAGTTCGAGTGACGGTCAAATTGCTCACAGCTTTTTCTGACAACTCTTCCGTCAGATTTCAAGCCACCGAACTCTTAAAGCTGTGGCTTATCTCAAAAGAACAGTAGGATTTAGGTGGAGGCCGTGTCTGTGATTGTCGTAGGCCAACAGACAACCCTTTATCAACTCAATTGTACAGAAACTCGATTGTTTTGAACTTGTACATCGGAAATCGAAGACGTGTTTTCTTGACCCGTGAGCATCTTTCAGTTGCATATTCAGTTGACTTCACGGTCCGAGGAACTTTATCATCTGTGATGCAGAGAACATGCATGCATTATCGAGATATTGCATGTCGAACTGGTCAGAACAATCTTCTTCGGATGTGGGATGATGCACCAACTTAAGCCGACATACCGAAACAGTCGATCTCTTTTCGTCATCGCAGTGTTTCCCACTGGAAATTCATCGTTGTAAACTGAGGTTTGACACTTCTTCTCACGCGATTCTAGTATAAGTATATATAATTATCTTGAAGCGACATAAACAGTTTTTTTAGCTGTTTGCTTTATCTTCGAAAATATTCACCTTTAGAACAACGTCTACAACTCCATACTTTAATTTTTTTCTTTATAAATAATAAACAACATATCAACATTGTATTATAAATTTGTTCAAGAATACATTTAGATATATTTAAATTAACAGTACACTATGTGTGTACTTCGATACTTGTTTTAATTGTAGATTTTCTTCATAATTTTTATTTTGCCATTTATCTCATATATGGTATTATATGCTGATTCTCTTTTCTTGATAACTTCTCTAGTGTGTATATATATATATATATATAGACAGAAAAGTCATCAAGTATATCAATATATAGCACCATAGTACAGAAATGGAGAATGATTAATTTTCCACAAACACAAAACAAGTATCAACTTTCTTCCTGGCAATTACAAAGCAGGATAGACAAAGATGGAGAAAATACTCTCTTCCAACTCTGCTGGACTGACATTTCTTCATTAGTCAAGCTCAAGATAGAATGTAAAAGTAGGCAATTATGACTTAAAAAAGAGAGACATACCCCATCAACCCGTTAGAAAGAAAACTTTTAGGTAACAATGGCAAACGATGGCAAGCATTACTTTACTGATTATATCGGAATGTGTGAGATATGTGTAAGTAATATCTCTAAGATAATATACAAAATTATCAGCCGCGCGTGCGTTAACATTGGGGTTTGGGAAATATTCTGCTAAATTAGACGCATTATTTACTTAGGAATCAAACACTCATAAGTTCCATACACAAGGTTTTTTATACATAAATCTCGAAAACACATCTTATGAAAGATGTGTTTTCGATGGAAATTTATTCCAAGTATTACAACAATCATAATTGACAAAACATGATCAAATCAGAACCATATACATGGTTGACAATGGAAAATATCACAAATATATCATAAGTGATGATTCATTAACAAAGAAAAGTAGACCACTAACTGTTTTAAAAATAAACGCTTTTGAAGATTATGAAATTTATATACAAAAGGAATTCGATGACTCATAGTAGAAAGCTTTTAGACACATCTGCAAAGTGAAAATGCATGAATCATTCACAATTACCAAATTTCCCACATTGCTAAAGTGTACAACATGTCAAACGATTAACGTCAAAAGTGAATGAAAATTTGTCTCATGATAATAATTATCACTAATCATTAAGACCATATATTGGAGAAAAATAGGTAATACTCTGGGGATCATTTCGTTTATTATATAATAATCTACCTTCATGCAAGGTTTGCTATTTTTCACATGACATACTCTTAAATGTTTCATGTGATAATGTGTCATCTAAATTTGGGGGAAAAAGTCACGTATTACATGAAAAATATAGACACAATTTTTTCTTAATCTATAAACACTGAATAATTTATGATTTCTCTTTCAAGAACACTCTAACCTCCATGCTTTAATCCTGTCCGTAGGAGAAAATTCCTCGACCAATAGAAATCAGTAAAACAGCAATAGCAGCAGCATCTGGAGCTGAAAATGCAATAGCTATCGAAAGATAGACGCCTAAATGTTAGCTAATTTCCCATCCAAGTACCTTGTAGCAACTACATCAAGTAAGAAATGATTAGTTTAGAGGAGGGAAAAGAATATCTACTTTTCAAAGCTTTAGGATATTTCCACAACATGGATTTAAGTCTGTCATGCAACTTACACATTGAGAGTCAGCAGTTGAATTTGATGTAGAGATTATGTATTGTTTTGAATATTAGAAAATATATGTATATAACCTTCTATTTCTTATCGTTCCTGTTCAATTCAGTTTATATATTCAAATAAATTTTTAAATAAGTAGTAAAAATTCTTTCAACTGATCAATGATTTCTTACGTATAAGATATTTTGCATACAAAAAATTGCATCTTTGTATTCACATAATCTTTGATCCTATGTTCATTCATACAAAGCATGAAAATGGTATGAGGTAGAGAAAGTATGGGAAATGGTATGGGAAAGATCGAAGTAAAGTTTTACATTCAGAAAATATTTTCAAACTGGAGCATGAAGAAAATTAGAAACCAAAAATCATTGAATATGTTTTGCACATGCCTCAATGTTGATTTTAACTTTTTTTCTACATAAAGCTACTTACACAGTTCTTTTTACCAATCTGAAGACTAAAATAAAATAATTAAAAAAAATAAAATCACAGCAATCACAAAAATATGTACAAATATGACTTACAAATCAAGGCTGCCGATTTCAATTCTGAAACATTCATTGACAATTTTTTTGTAATAAAATATAAGTGTAATGATTTTTCATCATGCAATAGTAGCAAGTTTATTCAATTTATATAAACAGCTTTTTTTTTTAGGATATTTCATACTTGAATTTTCAATCTCAATTTCTCACAGTAAATGATTTCAATACAAGCTTCAGCTCGTAATCACTTATACCCTTCATATTTGTACCTTCAACAAACGTAAAAATTGTCGAATTACCTTTCAATCAGTAGCTTGCAATACTAATTATCTGAAGTAATCTGGTATACATACGTTGTTTTGTGAATGAAATTCATGATTTTCATCCCATTAAAGCATTTAACCTAAAAAAATTTAGTTCATTGCATTATTTCATTCAAATGTTATGATTTTTCTATATTATAGATTTTAATAATCGTGAATACAAAATTAACCTATTTTTTTAGCTTCAAGGATTTATACCAAACATAATGATTGATTTTTGCACATTTAATTTTTTTTTACATATGTATCTACAAGATGGAAATTGATAGCATATTGATAGTTATATTACATGACGTCCAATGTCTGACATATGACTGTGAAACTGGACATAGTTCTTTCGTAAAGTTTGAAGATCTTGACTGCACATTTCACAAAAGTTTCAAACAATTATATACTCATCGAAAGATTTAAAACTCTAGTCTTTAATTAGTCAATGATTTAAGTCTTCTTCCAAATTTTGATATGAAACTTGGGATATGGAGATATTACGACTTGATCTGATCTGGTCCAAGTTTTAAAATCCTATACATTTAAACATTATACATTGTAATTTTCCACTTCTTGTTTAAGTGGAAAAACTTTATTTATCATCTAGCATTAATTGATATATATTTCTAGAAATATACGTAAGGTACACATGATTGTGGAAGTTTATAGAAGAGCGGTCATCTTAATAGATCAATTCAAGGTGTCCTCAAGTAGTACTGAAATAGTCATGATATGTGTGGTGAAAACAAGATATTTACTATTGTGTTGCGAGCCTAATCTAGAACATATTGTACAATCCATAAAGTACTTCCAAGGATTGTCCATCCTTTTTGCTTTACTCATGGGTAGTAGCTTTTCACTCGAGTATTCAGCGTTACGCGTTAGACAAGAATATATCACAAGAAAACGAGGTAGAGAAAACATGGATTTTGAAGATCGTGAGCACTAGGACACTTCTCAACCACCATCGTCCATGTAGGCTTGTTCGGTTAAGTATTGAAATGCTCAGATGTAGAGTAGCACTAGCAATGATGGTCACGAAGCTCACCTTTATCTTCGATTTATTACACCGTGTGTACCTACTGCACACGACTGGATTTTTTTCAGAAGAGTGATCTAGACTATGTAGGCTTAATGCTCTTGCTGATCGTCCATTCTGGGTTCTAGGCAGTACATTCAAACACTTTTGAGCGTCAACTTGCAAAATCTGGGACCTCGGTCACAGGGCGTGCGGGTGACCACCACACAACGGGGGAGCTGATCATTGACGAAAGCTGTCAGTGTTCTGTCTGCCCCCCCACCCTGAAGGTTTTGCATCCACTGGTTTGATCTGATAAGTTTCAGGGTATGCACTCGTGCTCACTGTGGATCATTATGTCTGAACAATGTGCAACTCATGGTGCACATTCTGAACAGGAACCTAAGGAGCCATCATTGCTCCTGAGTCCCGTCCTGTGCAGCTCGTTCGATCTGAGGGATTCATGCATGAAATCTACTGAACATCAGAGCCTTCGATCCGCCAGAAAGATACCCTTAAAGTTCCCTAATGTCTCAGACGTAAGCTTTCTGCTCGTACGATACTCCGATACAGTTCAGCACTCGATAACCCGATGTCTTCGTTGGCCAGAGATCAGTCCCAATTTAGTCAGAATCAGCTTCTCTGACGATGCACTCCAATAACATGTCCATGCTTTACACTTCACGGTCCGATCTAGGAAACAATAGACTCTGTATAAACGATGTAGATTGAGAATCCAGAGGATGGTCCGCATTGGCCTCCCCCTAGCCCACGGGTGTTCCAGAATCCAGACTGGAGACTGTTGGATAGCGAAGTCTCTATGGCAGTACGTTACCTTGCTCAAGACAGTATTAAAATCAGACGAGACTGTGCTGCTAATCATCGAGAAAGTTCCAGCTATTGCGGCCGTCTCGCAGATCAGAGCACTGAGGATAATGTTTAGTGCTATGAGAGAGTAGAGATTGTCATGCACTTAACTATCGAATTCTTACCATCATCGATTCTTTACCCGCTTATGAATGATAAGAAACCATGAAGGGGATCATGATTTTCAGTCTTTTTTTTTTCTTACATGAATCTTTACACACTGACGTTGACATCCTTTTAAACAAGACACCTATTATCTTGAAGGTGGTATTGGGATCTAGCGCTCAAAGTGACGCGTATGTTGATAGCTTGCGTTGCTCTAAATCCCATCTCGAAAGTTAATGCCATCTGGAAAACAAGAATTGACGTACAGAGACCTGCTCCAGATCCCGCGTGTGGGCATCAGTCATGATGCTCTGATTTCCTCGATCGTTCTTCCATCGAGAAAGCGTCACACCGTTCGAACGCCATAAGTCCTAGTAAATCACCCGGGGGAAACAGCCTAATGATAGTTACGAACTCACATTGATTCCTGATACCAACTTATGCAATGTTATCATTCTTCGCTAGGTAAACATTCCCCTGCAGTCAGTCCACGATCTATTTCCCTAGATCCCATCGTCCCCGGTTTTAAGTAAATTGCCTTCATTGTGCAGAATTCTCCCTCGCACCTACGCCATCGGTCCTCTTAAATGTGTTGCAATTCGAGCATTAATTGCCTTCAGTGGCGTCAAGAAGGTGCTGGCTCATTCATTCCTGGGGTGCTCATATCGTCTGGCGTTTCAATGAGAAAAACATCGGTGCAGTCACCGAGAGCCACGAAAAATGCAGGGGATTTGGTCGTCGCTACGACTCACAAACTGCGTGGGGGCGGGAAACGGTGAACACATACTTCCTCAGTCGAAACTAAATTCAAGAGGAGTTAGGTGATCGTCTCACCTGCTCAAATGGGATCAGGGAACCAGGTCCAAATCGGAGAGAACGAGAAGCTTGCCAGCCGGATTTCAGAGGCTCACACTGCATGCGAGTTCGGCTGCGTGATTGTCAGTGGCAAAATTTGCTGAACTTCAATTGCGCTGACAAGAGAAGTCACACTTCATGGACTAAAGGATTAGCATTTTGTATCCATCTGAAGGATGCGGTGAAGTTCCGATGAGAGAAGAACGGGGGACCATCTGAGCCCACCTATCCTAGAAGAACTGCCTCCGCTATGGCGATTCGGACAAACGGCTTTATACTAGATGCTTCCACCTCCCTAAAAGTCAAGCCCTGACTTCTGGACCCTTCAGTGGCGATGGAAGCAGGGAAATAGCTAATTCCACAAATACTGCGCAGATGTGCAGGCTTAAAAGTGACATGCACTCCAGATCAGCTACAACCTCTCGATCAGTCCTTTCATCGATCAGGAATTCATTCTCTAATCAAATATCGAGAAGAGGCATTAAGAATTTTCCTTCATGGCGTTGACTCGGAGACCTAACTTTTTTTGAACCGAGAGGACTTTGAACCCCGTCTAAATAAAAGACTGGCTCGCCGTTGGTTGAGGTCTCGAATGGCTACCCGTTGACTCCGAGACTTCAATTTTTACCGAACCGAGATGACTTTGAGCACTGTCTAAATTAAAGAGTGGCTCGGCGCTTGTTGAGGCGTCAGATGGCTACCCGGCACTACCCCTGATGCATAGAGATTCATCACATTGAAACCCTGGTTCAAAATTTCCATCATCAGTACTAGGAATTGAGTGTAGCTCGAGCCCTCCCTCCCAACTAAGCGAAGGGGCAGGTCGAGCGCCTGTGGGTCTCGAATGGCAACATAGAGCTTCTCACTGACTGCAGTGCAGTACCGATGGATGCATAAACACTCGATGGACGTTTATGCATTCTCGGCAATCCACCGAAATAGGAGATGGTCGGCGCAGTTCGGGGTATAGAATGGCCAACCAGACAAGTCAGAGATGAAAATAAGCTCACATTGACTGCTAGAAGGTGGCCTTAACTGAGGCCTGAAGGCGTGCCATGGAAGGTGTATCGGATTTCATGAAAAGGGCTGCCTTCGCCCGCGGAGGAGCTGTCCAGGACCTGTATTTACTTTTGGCACATTGTAAAACTTCGATGCGCTTTTATGTGCAAAGGGAAATTCACATTCCCAAAAAAGTTCACATTCTGTCATCACACAATGGAAGGTTTGACACGGTCCATAGTTTGGTGCATGACGGACGACACAGGTACTGAGGTAGAAATTAGAATCCTGCATTTAGAACAGGTAGATCAGTGTTGGATAAGCCACAGAAGTTTATCCACTTTTTGCATTATCTTCATATCATTGCAGCATGTTGCTATTCGTGGCAAGCATGACCAGGAACTGCTTCACCTCACAAGGATGGCGCTTCTGCATTATGACATGGTTAGAAAATCAAAGCCTGCCTGCATCTCGAGCAGGCAGGCAGGCAGGCAAGTCTTGGTGAATGCTTTTGAAGCCGCTCATGACTTCCTACTTTAATTATTCCGGGGCTCACTTAAAAGTATGGAACTTTTAATTTGGAAATAAAAAGTGTTGCACCATGATGTCAACGGGTGGCAAACTCATAACAGAAGGCGATTTTCCAGCCAAGCTTCTCTTTTGTTCCCCATCGCCTGTGTTCTTGCTTGCACGAGTGCTTGCCTGCTGGAGTTTGTTGAAAATGTCATACATTCCCCTCACGGTCGACCCGCCATGATTGACGATTTCCTATGCTTGCTTGGTCGTATGTGACGACGGCCATCCAAGTTACAAGATTTTCATTATACTAGAGGCATCCACTTGACAAATGCCAAGCCTCTCACAACGGAACACTCGGTCTGTTCAAGAATTTGAGCACAAGTCACTCTGTATACCTCTAGAGCCTTCATGCAGAACTGTCAAGCCAAAACACATTTCTCTCTTTACCACATCGAAGCTTCTAGCCGGTTAATAACCAACCCAATGTCGAAAGGCCCCACAGAGAACAAAACATGAGATTCCGACCTGCCGGATTCGAACCAGCGACCTAAGGATGTCTGGGATACCACTACAGTCCTCCGCTCTACCAACTGAGCTAAGGTCGGGTCACACTTCCGGTGACCCGACCTTATAAATATCTTTAATTATCTGTCTCGAACAAGTATTGCTAAAACTTTCATCACTAATATCGAAACAGAGCCTCCGCAAGCAGAAATAACCTTCAAAAACAATAGAACTTGTGTAATTTCATAATAAAATAAACTTGATGATAATGTGTACATATAACCAAACGTAGGATGGGGAACAAAGTGCATGTCGAGCACGACAGTTGAAAATACATTTGTTTTCGGGGTGCGGAGGAATTTCGTCAAGCTGCATGTATCTGCTGATATCATTCTCCTCGATTAGAATCTTGTGACGATGAAACATGACGTTCTGTACACGAAGTTGTAACCGACAATTTCAAGGAGGTTGGAAGGAATTTACCCAATTCTCGCTGCCGAAGGACATCTTTCGTCGTCGCTGAACTCATACGGCGATGCGGGGTGAGCACATTGATCACCCGCCGACATATCAATGCATCAGGGAATTGTACAGTATACATTTAGTTTTGGCATGCGCATGATGACCCGTTTTGGTGATTGCTCGGTCGCACAAGCATAATATTCACACAATTGGAGCGACATTCGCGAGGCACGAGAAGTGTGAACACCGCAAATACAGACGACGATGAACAGGATCGAATACTGTACGAAATACGTATTAGGGACCGAAGCCCCCGTCGAGAGTACTGTAGTACTGTACGGGGGCGACGACAAGAAAACATCATGATGTCTCATTCCATGGCATTTGAAAATGGGGATTTCGTCTGAAGCGCAGGGATGGCGACAAAAGGCAATAATGGAGTATCTTTCGTGACCTTAATTATGGGATCGTCGCACCATGAACTTCGATACGTATAGCCCAGCGGCTTTACACGTCGTCCAAAGCTGCGGAGGGCGAAACGAATCTACACAGCCATCACATGCACGCGGTCGTGTCACTCTGATGAGGGTGATTGGAAATCATCCCCCCGGCACACAAGAATGCAACGCTGCGAGTCGTGTCGGGGGCCTGGGTCTGTTCTTCCAACCCACACTCCCTCACTCCATGGGATCCATGGGCTCGTTGCCATGGAGGTCACATTCCTGCCTCGATCCTCGACTCTACAGAACACTAGTTTGGGACCATCCCTCGCCGAAAGCGGGCCGGGCACTCGAATCAGTCCGAGCGATGCCATGTCTTTGAGACGACACCGACAGCAGCAGCTTCGTATAAACAATTGGTAGATACTCGATCGACACGCGTCTGAGATTGATTCCCCAGGCGTTGCACGAGCTGCAAGCTCGTGCACTGAGGATGGTTCAAACTGTTGCGGACATCGCTGCCCGAGGTCTGTAGTTTTCCATTCCAGATCAGATTGAATATTGTGATTGTGATTGTGATTGTGGGAGCTACTGCGATCTACAGTCGATGCGATGAAACGAGACGAGATGGTCTTCGGTAGCAGCCACTGGCGAACATCGGATCGTGTTGAAAGGGTGGGGATTTCGCCGCCTCACGGATCAGCGCGAGATTTCGGGTGCACTGTCCGTCGATCAGGCAGGCAGTAATGCAAATTATATCTAAAACCTTGAATCGCGTTGGTCAACTGACATGTCTGACCGGCCCCGCGGCCCAAAGGAGGCCTCGCCGGACTTACCATAACCATCACAATCGCCATCGCCATCGCCGTCCGCCCCAGTCCCCGCGTCCACTTTAGGGCTGCAGAGTATAATGTCGTGAGTGCGCGGGGGGGTGCGTTGCGAATCCAAACAGTCGCACCTGGTGCCACTGAAAAGCTCGCCACGACGCAGGCAGGCAGGCAGGCAGGCAGATGCGGGGCAAAAACCCGACCATTGTGATGACCCCGCGAGCTCCAAAAGCAGAGCCCTGCTCTGCTGTGTGCAGCAAAATGGCGCCCGTCGAAGCCATTCGTTCTTTCTAAAGCGCCTTTTGCGCTCCCTTATGACGGACGCCCCTTTCCCCGCACCCTCTGCATCGATCGCAGTCCCTCGCTCCCTCGCGCACCGATCCTTCCGTGCAAGCGTCGTCCGAGGCCATCGCCCCGCCTCCACAGCAGCAGCACCAAGCTCATCATCGCTGCTGGTCGGTAGGAGGCCGAGGCCGAGGCCGGAGGAGCCGCCGATCCGTATTTCATACGTACTCCCTCCATGGATACATTCTAGGCCTGGCCATGCGCCGCTGTCTGGGGAGCCTACGCGTACGATACGAGCAGGAGCAGGAGCAGGAGCAGAGCCCGAGCAGAGGTCCGAGTCCGTGCGGCCGGAGAATTCACTGCCGGGCTGCAATTCGAGGGCGATACGTATTTGTATGACCTCGAGGGACCATACAGGTCATCATCATCAAAGGATGTGCGAACCACAGCATCGCGTCTGCTGCACGCCTGACGTCATCGCCTCGGCAGAGAGCTCCATCGAGCGCCGGGGTCTCCAAAAGAAGATTCCGAGTTATCTGCAGCATGATTAGTCGCCAGGCAGCTCGCTTAAGTGGCCGGTCAGTGGGCCTATAATACTCATTCCCGATCGCTGGCCTCTGAGAGCTGCGCAGTCCGGGCTTAAAACGAGATTAGCACGATTTTGACCGCAGTAATGACGGCTCGCAGGCTTAGCGGGCACCTCGAGCTCAATGTCAACGAACAAAGCAACAAAGATCGCGCAGATGGGGCGAGTCAGTTGATCCTGTCATAATGCTGCTGCTGCGAGGCGATTTAGCACCCGCGCGCATAGATCCAACGACGCTCAGTAAAATTAGCAGCCTCGGTGCTCCGGGCGCACAGAAAAGCGCTTTGTCGAAGCCGACGAGCGAGGCAGGCCGAGGCAGGGCACTCTGGTGGACCCACGTCGGGCTCGAGCTCGCAGGTGCAGTTATTGCCCCGTGCTTCGAAGCCTGGAGAAGGATAATTTAGCATCACAGATGGAGGCGAGGCGCTCGTACTAAAGATGGGGGCACCCGGGAACATGGCATATGCACCCGAGGGCCAATCGCGAGCTGCGAACGTCGACTACATGTGGCCTACTCTAGCCTCGGTCGCGTCTGCGCGCTCGTGAATGGCTCCCACCTCTCGTCCAGTGTCGAGTCCGGGTCCGAGTCTCCTGCGTCCATCTGGTTGAGGTTGGTGGCTCTTTATGACGCGAACGGGAATTCGAGCTGGGATCCAAAATTAGCGACGGTTTTCAAACGACCTGATTAGTCCTCCAGAGTTTAGGTCGCAACATTTTCCTCGCGGCAATGTGCACTCACATCCGCTGCCCCAATTCGTCGAGTTTCTCGGCTTCCTGTTCGATATCCTCCGCTCGACGACCCCCGTCTGCACATTATCCCTCCACCTCCACCTCCACCTCCACCATCTCCTCCCCTCTTGACCTCTCTGCCTCCCCTCCCTCCCTGCGAGCTCCGACAGTGCCCCTTATTCACTGTCACTCGCTTTTCCTCGTACGATATCCCTCTCCTGACCTCGACCTCCCTGCGCCTGCGTAGTTACTCCCCACGCACGCCCCGGCCTCGACTGTGAATTTCACCTCTCCGTAATCTGCATCCCCATCCCATGCCCTGCTCCTCTTCTGCTGCACCGGTCGAGGCTGATCGCACCACGTCCCTTGGCGTCTCTGCCTAGCACGAGGAAGAGATCAGGTCGTGGGTCTGTCAGGTTTTGCGCCGAGTGTTCCGTCGGGCTCCTCGCCTTGAGCTGCTGATTGCTCGTCTCGAAAGTCGACCACCATTGCTCGATCTTTAACTCCATGGCACCGGAAGAGTTTGCCGTTGGCCTGGTGTCAGAGGCGACGTCGAACCTGATCCATTACCTGATGGAAGTCAGATTTGCGAAGCAGCACAACAAAATTATCGTGCGGAAAATTGACCTCATCGTGACCACTCTGAACAGCAATGTGCTGCTTTTGAAACAGAAGCTCCCCGTCAAAGTCTACGGAGACGCACTCGGTATGTACTTTCATCTCCCACGGGCTCCGGGCGTCTCTGACGCTCAGCACAATCAGCCTCACCGTCATGTCTTCTTGCTTTGAAATGTCGGCCCGGCCAGAGCGTGCATGCAGTGTCGATGATTCCAGCCGGCCCCGCTGCCATAGCCGAGAGAGCGCTGCCAGTGTGTCGGTCGGTGAGGCGCTCTGCTTCGTGTGTGTGTGCGTCTGATGTTGCTCAACGACTTATCTCTGTCGCTCGTCGTGCCTTCTCGCAGGCTCCCTGACAGAGAAGCTCAAGGAGGCCACGGACTTCGTGCAGTCTCGCCAGAAGCAGGGTTCGTTTCAAACGATGTGGGACGATCAGGAGACGGAAGAAGAGCTGGAATCCATGCGCCAGAGGCTCGTGTCCGCGTACCAGATGGCAGTCTTCATCACCATACTTGACGTGAGTTCCTTGTCTTCTCTGTTTGTCTGCACCGGTGCTCTCTCTCGTGTCAGGGTCATGGCGTGCCACCTCTGAAATGTAGGCGTTTTGTCAGAGGTGGCAAATTTGCCACTTCTGGGCCGAAATCAGCTCTCACTGAACGAGTTGTTCCTCTCGACTGGTTCAGGTGGCCGTGGATGGAAACCGGAGGACGAACCAATTCCAGTACAGGATGATGGAACTCTCGTCTGCATACTCCGTGGACTCCAAGGCCGTGGGTCGAGAAGTCCGAGAGCTGCTCCAACCACTGGTTATGGGAAAGCGCAGGCAGGACGAGAAATTGGAGGAAGTTTTCGCCCTGGTCAAGGACTTAGAGCGCAGCGATGGGAACGAGGATGCCGAGAGATTCTTCAATGTGGTCAGTATCTCACTCGTGTGAACCGTATGCTATAATCAAATTAAAGCTTCTTAGTCCTCATCCTTAGCCAGGCTGCGATGCGCTTTCGCCCTGAAGCAGATTAGGCAATTGTGCATTCCGGTGTGGAGGTGGAAATTTGGTCTGTCTCGTTTGAAGCAGGCACTGTCGGCCTTGTGATATGTTTGAGGACTGAATGGTTTCCTGACTGGGTGGATTGATTGGCGAGCAGGTGCTGCAAAACATCGAATCTCTGACGCACATCCAGGAGAACGCCATGGATCTCGTCATCACAGAGGACGATGTAGACGAATTTTACGACCCAATCACGTGCGAGCTCATGTGCGACCCCGTGAAGGGCAGCGATGGCCGCACATACGACCGATGGACCATTATAGACAACGACATTACGCAGAGCCCTTTCGACCCGAGGAACGACAGGCCCTTCTCCATTCTGTGTGACGACATAAACGTGCGCGGGCGTCTGTTTAAGAAATTTCACGCCACTGGCGTCGAGACCAAATTTCGGGAACGTCGCCAGGCATATCGAAACCAGGCCTTCCAGCTTGCCAAAGACGGCCACGAAGCCGAGGCTCTTGTCGCGCTGGAGAATGTGCTCAAATGGGCCTACAACGATAAAGTATGTCAAGAGCTCCGCGACGCAATTGCTCCCAGAATTGAACACCAAGCACCGAAACCGCAGAAGCTGACGAGCTCCGCGCACCTCGAGAAAGTCAAGCAAAGAGTTCAATGGGAGACTCTCCAAGGTACGATGTAGCCTGATTGATTGCACTGAACGTGATTTTACAGTTCCCCCCTTGAGCTCGAGTTGTCTATCACCCATCCTCCCATGCTGGTCTGCGCTTTTGCGCTCAATTTGACGACTCGGCGGGCATGCGCATCATCAATGTTCGTGCCTGATGGGTTTAGGGTTTAGCTCTTGGGAGTGGCGTGGGAATGGGCACTCAGAGATTTGCGCCTATCGGAAATTTTATCCGCCTTGAAGTGAAATATGGAATTTTGTTCTGACTGACATGTCTCGACTGCAGATCATCTCGTGCGCGTGGAGGAGGATATGACGACGAAGGGAAAACCGATTCCTGACCAGCTGCTGGAGAGTCTCATTCGACTGCTACCCGAGAAAGTAATGAAATCGGAAGGCGTGCAGTACGATGTAGTGAGAGCCTTCGCCCTTCTGTGCCAGTACCCCGCCAACTGGAAGAAGGTAGCGTCATATCCCGGAGCCCTGAAGAAGCTCGTGAGTCTGCTGTCCCGGGAGGTTCCCAGGAGTCTTCTGTACGAGGCAGTCAGGGCGTTCCGAAGCTTAACCGGGGCCCAGGATAATCGGATGAAGCTGGCATCGTACCCGGGAGCTCTGGAAAATCTCATGCAGCTGCTGGCCGAGGGGTCGGGAGTGTCGGAGAACATCCAAGTGCATGTCATTGCTGCGTTCCTGAATTTGACAGTGGCCGAGGAGACTGGAATAGGAATCATAGCGTGTCCAAGTGTGCTGGAGAGACTGGTGGACCTGCTGTCTCGAGACGTGTCGGCGAGCATTCAATCCGAAGCTGCCAAGGCGTTCCGGAATCTGGCAGCAGAGCCTGAGAACATGGCCAAAATGGCTGCTTACCCCGGAGCCCTCCATGGGCTGGTTAGGCTCATGTCCAGGGAAGTTCCAGTGAGCATCCAATTCGAAGCGGCCACGGCATTTTATTACCTGACTTGGTCTGATAACAACACAAGGGTCAAGCTTCTGGAGTTCCCGGGGGCTTTGGAAAGGCTGGTGGGTCTGCTGTCCACAGATGTTCCTCTGAGAGTGCAGAGCGAGGCGGCCAAAGCGCTACAAAATCTCTCCTGCACGCCCTCCAACATCTCCAAGATTGTTGCCCACCCGGGAGCTTTTCAGGGCTTGGTGGAATTGCTGTCCGAGGTTGAGCAGGTGCCTGAGAGTGTGCAGCTGCCCGCAACGATTGCTCTGGCGAACATCGTCACGGCAGAAGACCACTACGAGAAGCTGATAACATTTCCGGGAGCTCTTGAAACGCTCGTGAGGTTGTTGTCTAAGGACGTCCCCGTCAGTGTGCAAACCGAGGCGGTGAAATCTCTTCGGGCGCTCAGCTCTGCTCCCCAAAATCTGACGATGATTTTTACACACCCCGGGACTCTTCCCGGCCTGGTGACCATGCTCTCGGCCGATGCTCTGGAAGAGGCTCAACTCTACGCAGCCACAACTTTTGCCAATTTAGCTCTGGCCGAAAAGTACAGGGCGCCCATTGTTTCATTCCCCGGGTTTCTCGAGAGAATTGTGCGGCTGTTATCGCCAGAGGTCCCGGCCGGGCTCCAGATCGAAGCTTCAAAGTGTCTTGTAAATGTCTGCTTAGAGAATGAGAAGAATAAGGTTAAGATAGCGAGCTTCCCTGGAGCTCTAGAAAAGTTAGTAGGATTGTTGTCTATAGAAGTTCCCGAGGTTCAGTTCCAAGGGGCAAGAGTTTATGCCGTTCTTGCCACTGCGGAGAAGAATAAGAAAAAGTTAGCCTCGTACCCGGGCGCCCTAAAAAAGCTAGAGGAGCTGTTAGCTGAAAACATTAACGACGAGCTCCACTTCAGAGCTCAAAGAGCTTTAACCATCCTCACCACGGAGCCTGAGAAAGCCGACAAACGGTGGTGGACGAAACTTGTAAAATCATAGTAAATTGTAAGTAAAAAAAACTCCAAACGCTACACACCGGAACAGACTCGAATGTGTGTTAATTCGTCTTAATGATCTGAGGTTGAGGCGGTGATTAGAATGTGTGTTCAGCTCCTTAAACCCACCAGCACTTTCCGTGTGTGTCGAGGCCATTTATGGTGGAATGAAGTGACACGGGCCAGCTACGAACCAACAACCCACTGCATCTTCGTGCCCCGAATCCCCACGGAATGCAGCGGAGACCAGCCACCTGTGTCGCCTGTCAAGCTGCATCGGACAAATGCCTGTAACCAACTATCCCCTCCCTCCTGAACACACTGGGGATGTTGGCCAGACAGATTTTAACGGTCGTAGAGTCTGAATTGTTGCGAGGATGTGGGGAATTAGCAGCAGCGTCAATGATATCTGCACCAACTGTTCACTGGCTAAATCCGGTGCCAAGCATTGATTGCCTGCGTGCGAGTGCTCGAACACCTCGTTGAACACTCGTGCTTCGTGCAGCTGTTCGCCGAACAACGCTTTTCATTTCGGTGGTGGACCGGAGGAACAACAGGAACAGTGAAGCTAGTCGAGGGGCAGTCCAGCTCCGGAGGCAGCTCTCGAGGGTGGTCTATGTGATGACATGCGATCCTTCAAAGTGTACGAAAAGATTGTGCTTGTCACCACATTGCTCAGGATCCATGCCTAGGGTCGGTACTAGTTGATCACTTCAGACAGAGATGAGGAGGTGGTTCGTGCGGCAACTGATTTAGAAACTTCTTTTTCGCGTTCTCGGATCACACTAGCGCATTGGAAGGCTTGAGAAGCTCGTGTGGGCGCAGGTACTGTGCGGATGAAAGACTGAAGATGAGTACTCCTATAAGTGAGTAATACGGTCGCCTTTTGCCACGGTACATAGAGAGTTCTGTGCCCTCTGTGGGCCAGGATTTTGTTGTAAGTGAGACAAAAGGAGGACTGCCGGAGAAGCAAATCCATATCCATTCGACAAGACGAAGGAGAATATGGAGAGAAATGTAGAAAGGGGCAAGCAAAAGCTGCTTCCTGACACCGAAAGATATTCTGCAAGCTCCAGACCCTACTCGGGGATTCAGGGGGCAAGGACTTGCTCGGTTCCATGAATGCTCACTCTCTCTCATTTAATCCTGATACTTGTTGAGGGCCCGATGCCTGTCATCAGCAGCGTTACCTTATACGTCAGACAGGATCTTCTTTTCGATCTCTCTTACTGTCGCGCACAACGGCTCGCACTGGGTCAAGGTCCCTTTCGTTCCTTGCCAGTCAATTTCGTCTAAACTTCCGTTTGCTAATGGCGAACGAGGGGACTCTCCAGAGTGAGAGTCTGGAGCACCCTCTTTATCAGCTCCAACTACTACTATTGCGGTCTTAATGGACTGCTTGGTTCCAACATGAGTGCCCTGAAGATTCTAATCTTCTTTCCCTTCTTGGATCAATTCCTCTAGATACCAATCCTCTGGCGGTTGAATTTCGTTGGCTCCAAAAAGAGAGAGCACTCTCTCCGTTCGTGACCAGGATGCTACAAACCACATCCATCTCGTACAATCCCACTCTGGTTGATATGCGCACACTTCAAGAGGCTAAAGTGCTTCCAACATTGAAAATCTGACAACCCATAGCATCTTCAAAGAAAAGTTGACAGCAAGTGTACCACAAACCACACCTTGTAGAAGCTCAGAGGAGATGATATGCTCATCCGTTAGAAAGCATAAGCGTCGCCCCCGTTGTATCATTGGCAACCCATAGCGTCTGTCCCGAAAAAAACAAAGCTAGAGCTGGAACGGGTACAGATCTCACAAAGACAAAGTGACGCGTACAAACTTGGAGTGAAATGTAAGCAACGAATCAGCTCGATGAGCACTCAGGGAAGTCCTTTTTGTTGTTCTCTATCACATAACTCGCAGTTGGAAGAGCGAAAAAGTTCAGATCTGGACACTGGACTACAGTGAAAGCAGAAGGTAAAGTGAAGTGGTTATAAGAGATTGACGCGACAGAAGTCCTGTACGTGATAACAGGGTATCAGTAGTCACCCCTTCCTTTACGGTTCACCACACTTCACCTCTGTTCTGCTCGTGCGGGCAGAAAGCGTATGACAGAAACGTTAAGTTGTACGTCGTACTGTGTGCCCTCGAAAAGGATGGGCGTCGTTGCTCCTACCTCGTAGACAGACAGAGACGAGTGAGTCATTATCCCACATCTGCCATACAGTAGTATCTTGATGTAGGGGAGTAGTTGATCTGTATTACTGATCCTATACGTTTTTTTTTAATTGCTTAATTTCATGGAGAAATACTACGAGTACGTATCACATACACCCCAGATTTTGTTGGTATACATTGCAATGAGCAATTTCGTTGGTTGTGCGTTGATTACCATTTTTACAATGGCACGGGCACTCAAGTTTACTCAACTTAGACGGACGTACTACCTTCATCGTATACAGTACTAAGCAGTGAAAAACTCACTCGAGTTTTTCACTGCTTAGTGAAAAACTCGATCCCGAGACTGTACAGTTCCGTAAGGAGAAAGAATGTTGAGTTCGTGGGTACGAGAAGATTCCAAATCTAAGCATGAATCCAAAATGTAGGAGAATTCAGTAGAGCATATTCAGAGGCTGTACTACAACAGCAGATATTAAAAATGCATGCTCATTTCTCACAGACGTTAGCATGTCAACAGCCTGACCTTCAAGGATCGAAGAAGAAGTATCGATATCTTCATCATCTAAACTGGCTGACTTTGGGGAAGAACCATCGATATCTCCACCCAGTAGTAACTCACCTCCGTACAGCGAACGAGGACTTGTAATAAGTTTATGAGATGTATTATGAACTGTGCCTTGTGCTTTTATAGTAATCTGTAAAAAACACGTGCTTTCTTCTCCCATGAAAAGACGTGGCATGCAGAATGACGCAAAACTACGACACAAACTTCGAGGATTCTTCAGTCCCAGTGATGAAAAGAAGGTAACTGTTTCAGTTGATGCAGTAGATCGAATCCTCAGTTTAGTGCTTAGACCGAAGAATAGCAGTAACGGCTAAGATTGTATCTGCTTAGTATTTCAAAGTGAATCTTGTGGCAGAAATAAGTTAATTGTAAAAAAGTTTCAAATAGTGCATGAAGTTTCAATATTAAGATGCTACTATCATGATCTATATTCGAGATGTACCCATGTTTCAGCCTATCGTTAGAAGCCTCCTCAAGATGTGAGAAGAAATGAAGATGCCTTTAGAATTATTACTTGGACACCAAGTAATAATTCTAAAAGAAAAATGGGGCTAACTCAAATAGCAACACAAGGGTAGAATATATGATACCAACCTTTGGTCTATTATATTTGAATTCAATTGAGAACGATAAGAAGCATCATATCACTCATCCAGTCATGAGAATCTGTAACCCAAATATCATAACTAGAAATAAAGAGCCAAGAAAAGAACAGGAGCCCTGAAAAGATACATCTGTGTGTCTTAATTCTGGATCCCTTCAAAGTTCACTATCATTTAGAAACCCATGTGGAGCCAGTTTGGATTTGCTTCCTGTAGGTTAGTCAGGTAGCAGCTTCTCCAGTATTACCTTAATCTCCTTTCCAAAAGACATTTTTTGGAAAGGGAGATACAGACACACTTTGATCCCATGAGTGGAGACACATATGTGTCTCTTCCATCCTTGAAGCCCGCAGCTTGACTTACTACTCGGCATATTTGTACAGCTGATAGTACAGAATGTTAGGTACCATCTATGCAACTGTAGTGGATGTATATACACAGGCATATACGTTGGAGGCTTTGTACCTTACAGTCCAGACTTAAGGCCCCACCATACTTTGCTTGCTTGTTTGGATGAGGGCAGATTCCTTCTACGAATGAAACCTGCTCTTAGGCCATTCACTTGGAAGCCGTTAGATCTTGGCCTAGAGCCCACCTGCTAGAGAAGTAACACCTGTTCATTGAACTTGTGCCAGTATTGGGCTGTGACAAAACCTGGCCATGTATTCTGTGTGCATTTAACAATCTAGTTCTTCTGGGAATTGGAGATCTGTCTCTTCACCTTCATCTCGGTTCAAGGAATTTTCTCGGTTTTAACGGCCTGGACCGTTTGTTTTCAGATCTGGTTTAGGTTTGCACTTTGCTTTGTCGTCTATATCTGATTGCTCTCCCATCTGAACAGCAACGATTAGGTGAGAAAAGCTTTTTTGTTGCTCATGAGAAGTGTATGCAAGAGAAAGCGGGATTTGCTTCTGGCAAGACGTGATCCTTGATAATTGTCTATAACGACGTGAAAGTGAGAGCTTTTGTGGTACTGTACATCACAACAAACGCCGAGACATTTCCATTGTTTTAGAGTTGCAAACTGAAGGAATTCGTGATTCACGCGTGCAATAACAAGGATGCGAGGATGTGCGGAAGATAGTGAAGACAGTCTGACTAGTTTTACCAATCGAATTTCAAAGTAGGTTAACCATACCATATACTCACTCAGTATATAAAGCTTAATACAAATAGTTGATGTGTATGAAGTTCCTTAACGCTTATTATAATATGCCAAATGCCAACTTTTTATATTTTCCAGTTACTCATTATATATATTGTAAACAAGAATAGAGAGAATGAAACCCTCGTTTGGGTCGACGAATATTTTAAGAGATACGAGATTTTTTATTGGAATGAGTTAGAGCTCCAAATCCATTTATTTTTATAAGTGTAGAGCACCTTTGAAACCACCAAATTTTTTTATCATAATGCTAGAGTAGATTACTTCATGCGGACCGGTTGTTGAACCGTGTTCCTATCTCCATGTTATATATGAATATAAGATAAGCTTGACGATTAGCTGTAGTGGGCGGCTAGAATCTATCATTTGAACTTGCAATATTTCGCGTAAATCATAGTCTCGATCACCTACTATCCGAAACATTAACTTAGTGTTACCATAAGTAGGGATAATATCTTCGTTATTATAGATCACATTATTTTCTACCAAAAGCTCGGTACTTTGATCTACTTCTTTGTGGTTATTGTATTTCAAGTTCATTGATACGTTGATATCTCATTTCTTGCAGATTGCATGTTTCAATGGCTAACAAGTGAAAAATTATAAACCGTTTTTTTCTCATTTTCCCTGTTGGAAAACTCTTCAGGCTCTATCTTTGCAATGACCTAAAATGTTATCTAAAACATAGCTAATGGCTTCGAGTGTTTTGAAGCTCGAAACACATTCGGACGTACGGTAGCCGTGTTGGTGTTCGGCTACATGTAGATACTTCAACAACACGATGGGCTTGTGGGGTTGACTAAAACGAAGAATGTTCCCAGGCACTTTTGACTCTAGCCACCAGAGTGACACATGATATAATGCATTTTTCACGTTGCTAGCTTTTAGTCATTTCCTGATTTACACGTGTAGTTGATGCTCAGAGTTACTTACCTTGCCCATGTCCCTCCCGCAGGCTTGATGACGGTATGACAGTAGATTATTGCTTACAAATTAGAGATAAAAGTTCAGACACTGGACCTTGAAGTGAATCATACACACGTTCATTGAGAGGCCCTTGAAAATAGAGTAATAAAGAAGAGCTCACTTGAATTGTTAAATTGAGTTGGTGGCTTACATAGTCAATTGTCAAGTTTGTGTAAGTTGTGAAGTGACAGTATCTGCAAAAGACGTGCGTCAGTCAGTTTCAATGATTCACTTAGCTCCACATGATTAAATTATGATGACAACTGCTGAGTGTTATAATTTTGGCGACATGCAGCCTGCTTCTCTTCTTCAGATATACATATTTCTCTGCTTTTCTGAGATCTGGTTGCAATAGTCAAGTCTGACAAGGCCCTTTCGGTTAATCGTCATTCACAATATATTTTAGTATAAAATAGCAATTCTAGTCTATATCCTCCTCTTCCAAAGTCTTTTACACAATAGCTGTCTTCTTCGCCTTTCTTGAAACACAAAGCATGCTAGAGCGAGCTACAATCTTCCTCTTGGATTATCCAGTTTCACATTTGATGCTCTTAACTTACAGCAGTACCCACTCAGGATTCCAAGATTTATGGATCTAGAACAACTATTCATTAACGAAACATTCAAGGATTACTTTATTGCAAAGAACTTTGATTCCTATGACGCTTCAAGATGCATAATTCTGAAACGATTTCTTACTATTGGATACGTGTGTGTATATATATATATATATATATTATCAAGAGAAGTACACATCTTGAAGAGTAGTAAGAGTCAAAGTTCTTTGCAATAAAATACTTTTAGCACAAAAAAATTATTTTAATTATTTTTCTTCAAAATCATTGAAGGTTACAGGCATCTTACATATTAAGATATATCAAATCTTTCTTCTGTAGATCATAAGTGTAAAGTTTATCAATAAATGCACAAAATTATCAATTATTCCTAAATTAAATAAATATGTATTTTATTAAATTTAACACAATCATTATAAAACATGATGACATATATTGTGTTCAAATTTTTTGCCATAATAATCACCAAGTTTTGTTTAATGAAATGCACATATATAATATAGGAAATATAAAATAATATGTATGCTTAACAAACTGCAACAAATATGTTTTAAAAATAAAATAAATTTGATAATTATTTAATTTATATGTAAAATTTGAAACTTAAAAATAATAAAAAAACTGTACTTTTCTAAAGCATTTTTGATCTATGACAAAATTTCATAAATATTATTCAACCAAGATTCAATGTACACATCAAGCTTAATTGAAAATAAAAAATTTAATAAAAAATAATTTCAATTTTTTTATTATAGTTTGAAACTTTTGTGCGTAAGTTCATTTGCAAGATATTCATATAATTTTTTTCTTGAATATTAATTTTAAATTAAAATAATGAAATGTAAACTGATATATTTCAAGATTAACAATACTTGGAATATAATATATAATCATTTATTAGAAATCATCTGATTATATCATATTTTGGGCAAATTTTCTTTGTACTCTCTCAGATTCAATGAATATCTATCTTACTTTTCAAAAATATATTTCATTATGAATAGAAAACAATATATAAATTCACACAATTTGAATAGTCTTTCGATTTCATTTTCTTATTTTCTTTGATTGTAAGCTCTAAATATTAAGCATTATAAATAGGCAAAAAACGAATGTAAAAATTGCAAATGTAAAAACTATTGTGATAACATGTCAAGCGCTACAAGGAAACAGTCGTAGAGTACTCTGTGGACTAGTTTGTGCAACGTAAGTATGAACTTTGTTTTTCATGTCCTACGAAGAGTAGTTACTGGTAGCGTATCACAAAGCATCCTTGCACATCTTTTAATGAAGAAGAAACGACGAAAAGCTGGACGTAGATTTCTCCTAAGTGTGTTGGCAGGTTCCTTTCTGACAACCACATCATTCTTGGATCCAAAGTGAGTTGAGTACAATTGGAGCTTTTAGTGACATCCCTAACTAAGGACCTCTAGCTGTTGTTCTCAACGTTTTCTAGTTTTTGTAAAGATGCAAAAGAAAAGCTGGAGGTAGATTCTAGATAAGAATTTTTGTACTATTATAAATCTGGAGAGTTCTTAATCGGATCTTGTATCGCCGTCATAAGAAAGTTGTTTTTCAAAAGTTCTATTAGTATACAGAGTTTCTGTGGAGATGAAAACAAATAGATGGAGGTCTATTGCGCAGAAAGATCTTGGACGCCTCCTTTCTAAAGATGTTTGTATAGGATCTGGAGTTTTTTTTCCGGATCTTGTAGGCACGTCGTCTAAGAGGAGTTTATTGACATTTACTCCAGCTTTACTATTCTGTTAGAAGAATTTATCCAACTGTTCAAGTATGTCGAAGACACTAATATTTACTTTGCAGAAGACGTTTGTCCAGGATATGAACTGATATTGAATTTATATTTTTACAGCAGAGTCTGCCCATGTTAATTTTTTTAATGTTTTGTTTTTTTTTGGTCAAATAATATATATGTGAAAAAAAATAGTAATATTCCCAAGTTTAGAGCATAAAAACTAGTAATTTTCGATGAAATTTAATCATAGCTCCAATCCAACTTCATTTCATCAACTATATCCCCATCACCACAACTGCTAAAGGTTTTTTCTATACACACTTGCTCGAACGAGTCAATTACTATAATTGTAATCAGCTTTAATTAGGCCGATAAATAGAGTATTAGTTCAGACCCTTCCAGAAGTCCATAAGGGCACCGAGGACATTGAGCGCACCCGCAGACGAAGAGAATTCTTCCACCGTCGAGGGGCTTGCCTCCTCGACGGTGGAAGATGCATCTGGGGTACAGTAGGTAGGAAGACGAGACTGTCTAAGTGCGGCCATTCGACACGAAGCTTCTGATTACAGTTCTTTACTATTTGACGCATCGTCTCCATCCGACCCTTCACGTGGAATGCTCTAGCTTCTTCTCCCGGCCGTTCCGGTCACCACGGAAGTAACGGCAGTATCCGGTTCGAGCAGCTAAAATTCCACCGCACGAGACATGACGACATGGATAATCTTCCGGTTGCAGTCGGGAGAGCGGTCGGTCGAGGGAGGCAGGCAGGCAGTCCATGCAAATGGACCATAGCCCCCTCGAATCTTCCGTCGAAGAAGCTACGAGAGGGATGCTGCGGTACAGCTCGAAATTTGTCAATTAATATATTCCTCGACTCGTGTTTCCGAGCATGTGGTCGCTGGTCAGTGAGTCCGAGCAGCAGGCAGGCCGTCAGCTCACACTTCTGTGCACGGTGATGGCGGAGTCGGCAGGTAATTGTGCTTCGGACGAATATTGATAGGCCCCTTTGTGTTGACGTTCCTCTGGGATGCGCGTCGTCCTTCCACGGTCCTCGAGTAACGTCTTCAGAAAGGAGTCCATCAGTATTGTCCACGATGGTGCTCAGGTGCCAGGGTGTTGTCTAATGTGGGAAGCAACTAGATTGATTGATCGGCCACGAGTTTAGTACAGGAAACCGGGAATCGTGAAATTTAAGGCTCGGCATGGCTGTGGAACTTGCTTGCTCTGATGAGAAGGCTACAGCTGAGTGGAGTGCGAAGTGCTCTATTACACCATTAGTTTTCATCGTCCTTCTTTGACGCAGCCAAGCTCCGTAGCCAGTTCCTTCCTTTCTTCGCTCACGAGTATGAACAAGGAAAAGACTTATTTGTTCTCATAGGAGATGACAGGAAATCGCAAGCGAGCTCAAAATCGATGTCCGTTACAAGCCGAATCTCGCTGAATTGCCTGAGAGTACGTTTTTGGTTACTGGAGAGGGAAATTTCACCATGAGGACGGGGTTTGATGTTATTTGAGGAAATCAAGGATAGGATTCTCCAGCTCCAGATATGTTTCTATATTGTGACACAGACAGAATCTGTAGAATGCTTTGGAGCCTGCAATTTAGTTCAGCAATTCATATGAGTGCTGACTGACTGGCGAGCCACGCTTTCAAGATGAACATTTTGTTTTTTCCATATTGGGTGCACTTCGCCTCTATTTCATGGCACTAGAGAGACGATGAAGTGCGTTTCGTGTCACTAAAAATTTTATAATTGGATGCGCCTGATTACTGGACATGGACATAAGGTATGGCCTTGAGCCAACCTGCATGGTGCCTAAACAATTATCCGCAGGCAACGGATGTGGTTGCTTTATCCTTTCTGAGTTTGATAATCAACCAGAGAACGCGAGTACCGTACAGCTTGACGTACAGATTGATTGACATACCTGTGAGGACAAAGTTCAACAAGATGAGCATGCTCTCTCAATAGATTATACTGCAAAATCCTTCGCTTGGGCATTCAGTGATTTTGTTTGCGTTGTTTTATCTCAGGTGCGAGATCCTTACCTAGACTGTGCATGTAGGGGTCAAACCATTAGCTTTGATTTGACACCATTTTACCTATTTCTCGGCGAAGGATGGAGATTGCTTTATTTTCACTCCCAATTGCGAGGAACCGTGTACTACGACAGGTTTCAGCTACCGACCTTTTAGACAGATGCTGAGTTAGAACGTTGATCATCCTTCTCGCTTCAAATTGCTATGTTTTGCTGTGTTTTTCTCTCCAAGCCCTGTCGTCAATAAACTCAACTGTCAAAGGGAGCATTTTGTTTGTTCAGTAACTCATCAGGTTAGTGAAGAACAACATGGTATGGAACGCAGGAGGATATCACTTTCTGTTGACTTCTTTCAACAATTTCAACGCAGAAATTTGAGGTCCATTAGAGTAGTAAATTTCTGGGTCCAAACAGTTGGATTCCTGTAGCAGGGCGAAGATCTCTGCGACTGATTAAAGCTGTGGTTGGTAGACAAAAGAAACTGTGAATCCAACTGACAGCTCGTTTGATGGTAGCTTCCTTAGAAGCGTCTGAGTGGGAATGTACACCGAAAGTAAGATTTGGCTACATAGAGTTCTGACGCTGAGATCGTAACTGCCTGCACTGAACTTAGTCTAAGTTTAGTGCTGGCACTGGAGCTGAAAGCGTTCATAGTAGCGGTCTCTGGGCAGAATTGCGAAAATTGCCGAAGTGAAGCCTGCAAAGTCAGAGAGAGATTGATGGATCAACCAAGGTGACCATTGCGCTTGATAGGAGAATTTTGTGCGCGTGAAATGTCTGCAGTATGGTTTTTGGGACCAGTCCTGAATACGGCCTTCTCTTACGAATTCCCTTCGCGGTTTCAACCACATTGTGGGAAGGACGATTTGTCATTGCAGAGGAATTATTTTTTGGCTTGCTCTAGGTCCTTTGATCCGTGAATCCGTCACGACGCCTACTTCAGTGATTTCGATTATAAGTGTTTACAAAGTTTACACATATCATAAGTAACTCATAAATTTCCATATAATCTGAACTCCTAGGTTTATAAGGGTTGCAGGTGGAAAAGTTAATGGAGGGATTTAAGCAGTTCACTGAGACGTCATGGATGTTTTTTCTTCAACTCATGCATTACATGAAATCAGATGAAGGTGGGGTCGAAAGCTTACGTTCTCTAAGAGATGATATCGGAGAAATTTAAAGACGAGCATGTTGGTCTAAATGTCTGCTTGTACAACAACCGTGGTGGATGGTACTTCAGAAGACCAAGAAATACGAGATGTGTTTGCTTTAACCAAAAACTGTACAAGTGGAAATATAAAAGAAAGGAAAGTAGTGCTCTTCTATTCTGTATAATGGAACGAGGAGGTCTGGGTAGGGCACAGGAGAAGGATGAACCTGTGAAAGTCAATGAAGCATTTTACGAGATTATCAGAATCGTTAAGGTGTCAAGCCACAAACCTTGAAACTGGAAGTGGATCTGAACTTCGAAATGAAGGGCTGCGTACAACAGTACAGTCAGTACTGTACAGCTCGGGCTGAATTTGTGATGTGAGCGTAAACCACTTTTGAGAATAGATGTTGAGTTCATGATGACGATTACTTACATGACACTAGTAAAGACACAGTCATCTGGGGGTACACAATTCTCTCTGCGTACAAGCAATTTGACGCTTTAAAAACTCCGCAAAAGTTTGGAGCAAAATGAATTACAGCAGCCTCCATTAAATTAATCACCAGGAAATAGATGTACCAGTCTCAGTGCAAATCAAGCAGTCCATCATTATCGACCATTGGTGAGCAGAGCAGCATGGCAGTGCTCATCACCTACAAGCCTACTACTTTCAAGAACAACTCTATGCCGATAATCCTACCACAATTGGGACCATCCGTCTGTGAAAAAATCTAGTCATGGTGGATGAATGTACCGACCAATGCAAGCAAAGCCTGCGAGTCTGTGTCATCATATCGCCACTCTGATTATTTCTCTCCCTGGCTGTGGCGTCCAGCAGTCCCATCCCATCAGCAGCTCATCTCAGATCACGTCTCGAATTTCCAAAACCTGGGCAGCTTAACAGGCTCTATACAGAGAACGATGGCATGATCTCTCGTCTACGATGCTCGTATCATAGACTGCGACGCTAGATCTACTACGGATGTCCAAAATCCATGCGACGCCTGGAATGTTCACAAGGCCCGAAATACCAGAAGGACGGTCAACTATGCGGGAATTTGGCGCCTGCACCATTCCTGCATGTGGTCCCGGGCGCTTACGCTACGGGAGGGTGAGAGTGACGAGCTCCGGGCGTGAGCAGTTCACGCTCTGGCTTGGGAAGATGTGCAGTTGCTAGAAAACCTGTCACGTGGGGGGATGGCCCTCATCTTCAGAAGATGACCTCGGGCCTCGTTCAATTGGCTTCTCCGCGCTGAGCTCCGAAGGCTCCGTCCACTCACTGGGGTCGATCATCGATCGCAGGGTCCGATCGTGTTATCCCGATGATAATGCCCTCGGGGAGAGAGGATCGCAACCGCCTCATCGACCTTTGAGCTCCGGCAGCTCAAGGAACAGCTCTGAGCCCTCCGTTCGACGGCCTGCGTCGCCACGGGTACAGATCGGGTCCGGCGGTGGACATGGAGACTCTCGGAACTGGGAATGTCAACAGCCCTGTTGCGAATCGGTTCCTTGGATTCGTCGGAGGAATCGACGAAACGACATGCAGTCAACAGTTGCCTGCTAGTGCTTCGGTGGTGGTCCCGGGTGCTGATACTGCGGATGCTCGCGGACCTTCCTTCTGCATTGTACGCCAAGCTTGCAACGCATGGAGTTTTGACCTCCTGCCGACAGTTTCGTGGAGCTTGCAGCAACGCCAGCAGCTCACTGTTGGGCCTGATCAGGCTAGCCTGAGAGCCTGAGAGCCTGAGAGCCGGGGACCCGGGGAGCCTGGGAATATAACCCGCCTCACGCAGTCCTTCCCCTCGATCGTCTCAGCGTGAAACCTCAGCGACAGCACGATGCCAAAAGGCCCTCTGAAACGACGAATCGACGAGGTTCTTCTACGGCTTCATGTCACGTTCCTTGCCCAATTGAAGCCGCTAATTCTGATGAGTAAAGAACACTTTCCCTTTGGGCGACTCGAGAGCTTTGAAGCCGCATTTCTGCAGCTGGTCTCTCGGTCCCTCTGTTTCATAGCTGTCAGATTCGTGAATCTGTCAAGATATGGGACCTTCGGCACACACCATCCATAGCGTAGCTGCAAGGAATCAACACTGGACAATGATAGAGGCGCAGGCCAGCCAACGTTTCACTCGAGCAAGTTGTTTGGATAATCTAATATCCGAGATGTTAACAGAATGATTCCTGGACTTCGTTGACTCTGGAATCAGTCGCCATTGCATTCCGGTATTCCGGGAGATATCAGATTAAGCTTTTTGTAGAGACTTTTGAATTCGTAGCGACCGTCGCAAGGCGAGCTCCATCCATTTAATTGACTTCGATGCTGGTCCGCCCTCTCGCATATTGTTAGTATTGACGATGGCTAAGAGTCCAGGCCTTCCTGCAGGTTCGTTGAAGTCTCCGAGATCTAGAATTGAGATTCCTGCTCCAGTAAGCTCAGCTTTCTGTGCACCTTCGACGGTCAAGTTCGTGATCGAGCAGAAGCCTTTTAGGAAACTAAATGAGAAAATTTACGAAATTGCCGATTGGAATGGCAAGAGGCTGTTTGAGGCAGACAGTTTACTCTTTGGGGGCTCAAGGCGTCTCCGGGATGACAAAGGCCTGGTTCTAGCTCACCTGAAGAAAAAGGTACATTCTCATGGCTGTTTCATACTTGGCAGAAGTTAGAAGGGATGTCAGGGCCTCTGAGAGGCTCAGTTTCTCTCAAGATTTCAACTCGGTGACCCGAATGTATTATGGAATCCAGACCTAGCTGCTGCCATTCCCTCACCCCAACAATTTCCAGCTTGCTTAACGTTGTGTGACATAGAAATTCAGTCCGAACTGGTTTTACTTCTGTTTAAGAATTTTGCCTCTGACGACGTTCTATAACCAGAACCTGCATTCCCGAGTGCTCGAGGTTAGTCTCGTCATCAACTTCTTACATGGCTCCGTTGGATTCAGATTGTGACAATGCACGAACGATGGGAAGCTCACCGCGGTGAAAACTCGGACGAGCTGGTTTTCATCTTGAGAAAGGAGAGCATGTTCCACAAAACAGCTTACAATGTATTTCTTGCATCCAATCTATCGATGCAAACACCTGATTTCACAGTCAGGGGTGACTTCGAGGAGCAGACATATTCTATACGTCACAAGGACATGCCTGTCGCAGAGGTAAATACTCCCTAAAGAACCCACTCCAATCAATTAAATCAACAATTTGTTCGGAGTACGCTCGTCCTATTTATTCTCCAAATCTGGAATGGCATCTCTCTATGCAGCCTCGACTGACCGATAGAGTTGTCAGTGCAGGTGAGCAAGACCTTATATCCGTACGTAGATCAACTATGTGTGACAATCTTCCCAGGAGTTGATCAAGCCTTCATTGCCGCAATCCTTGTCGTTATGGACCAAATAAAAGACGATGACAATAAATTTGGATCTGGATGGGTAGGATGTACATGTGTACCTCTTGATTTAGGAGGACTTCGTTAACAACAAAGAGGAACCTGTTCAAAGACTGTTACCATTGATGCATGTACTACAGGCTCTTGTCAGTTGTCACAGTATTGACACTGTGGTGTTGCTGCCTTTCTGACTCGCTTCAGTGAGATGCGACGTACTGACAAGCACAGCAACCGATGAAGCACTATTGCGGTACATCTGTTTCTCTGATAGTCACATCTGCTGTTCATGTGTCTCAATTGTACACCTTTCTCTGGATGGACTCTCTGTTGATGACTTACATGCCAATTTGGTCTGCCCTTGTTGCTTCAGTTGTGTCAATTCCTACGCATCATGACCGCTCGATAAACTCCTGAGCAAAGCTCCTCACAGTCATCAAGTGTCCAGTTGCGTCTATGTTGTGCAAATATTATCTTATGAAGAGGGCACCCCCTGAAATCTGAACTTGTTCAACTTCTTCAGTAGATGGGAAGAAGGGAACATCCATAACATCAAGATGAAAATTCTTATGTAGACTCCCCATACCCTGCGACCTTAAGGTCGCAGGGTATGGGGTTAGACGACCTTAAGGTCGTCTAACGATGGAAGGAGATCATGTTGCAGATGCATGCCCCATAACATTGTCCATTGATTCTTTCGTGTATTCACTCGATTGGTTAGAAGCCAAGCATGCGACAGTTTATGCTTGGTCACACTCCCATACACTGGCAGGTTTGTCATGAGCTCACACGAAGTTGCTCACTGGTTTAATTGCCGCCCATTCTCACTGGAGTACATGAACTACCTATTTATTACTCCTGCCACTCAAACCAGAACAAGACATTGCACTCAGTTTCAGACCATTCGTGAACCAGTCAGATACGATATACTTATGACAGGTCAGATGAAAGGCTATTTTGAGCTGAAAAAGATTTGCTAAGCGGTATATGGATCTGAAAGGGAATATAAAATCCTTGTCATAACTCCAGACTCGCCTGTAAAGAACGCAGCATCTGGACATATGCGACTGGCACGCCCTTCGACTATCTTCTGCCTTGGAATGAATGTGAATCAAAGAAGGCAAGCCATGTAAAGACCTCGTCAAAGTACTGTACCTTACACGACACAAACAAACAGACATGGCCTTCTTTCCATACAAACTGCGGGGTAAAAACAAGCCACCACAAAATATCTGGAATTCAGACCACAACGAATTGGCCTCACAGTATATGACCCTTCTCATGTCAATCCGCAACACTGCCTTAACATCTTAAACTCAATGATCATAAGATAACACTTTCCGTACCTAGCCCACAACTCCTCCTTTATAGGTCTCCGGCGGCCTCCCACATTAGAGTCTCCAATTGTCTCCCTACATTCTCTTTCCCACTGAGTTTTTCCTCCATGGCCACTCTCAATCTACCTTCCTGCCTTAGAATATAACGGGGTGCTTAAATAGTTGGGGACCAGCCTCAGCTAAAGCTGGAGCTAATCCTGAATGTTTGGCAAGTCAGCTTTGGGTGACATTAGTGTATATTTCAATTATAGCTAGAGTCGGTTGCTTCGATGTGGGTTGCAGGAGTTGTTAAATTCGTGATGTATTCCCGTATGGCACAAGATCACATCCTCGTGATAAAAAACCAGTAACAGGATACATAATCCTTGAAAAAATAACTAGAAATTCAAATGCCAATTGACACCAACTAAATGAATTCCAGATAACAAGTAGTTTAATTCTCATGTCGCCACAATCACAAGTGCTAATCAAAAAATTGAATGATTGAAAATCACAGAAGGCCTCAAGTTCTAACTTATCCTAATTGGCAATAAATTTTGGGCCTAATAATCTACATGCAATGATTCGCAGATTGGATTGAGAAGCAGCCTGTTGCAAGCTAAAATCAAGCGTTCTTTCTCTTCTCAGACTGCGGCTGACCTTGTAAGAGCATCCTCTACAACCAAGAGAAGTACCAAGCAGCCATACAATGATATTTTGCAAAATTTGATGACAAGATTAGAAACCCAACAAATCCGAGGACTTTTAACCGCTTCAGAACTTTTCCTCTTGCCTTTTGCACCAATGGCTATCATCTCAAAGAAATCATATTGCTGTTACTCATTACCACATACTTTGCAATAACCAATCATTCCTAGCTTGATGAAGAATTTGGCTTGTGTGGCACTTTTGAAAAACTTGTCCTGATCTCCTGATTACAATCTCTAGATAACAGTAAGATGTATTTATTTATAGATTTATCTAGAGATTCATTACTAGCAGTATATTTTAAAACTGTAAGTTTAATTCAAAGTGGTAAGATAATTTTGAAGTTAGTATTATCGCTACGCGCTTAATTTGGAGAAGATGATGGAGCATTGCACAGAAGGAAGTACACAACCTTACGTGCCAGGATTCTCCATGGCTGGTGGCGAGGTTAACTTAAGGTGGCTAGAGACATACAGCAAGGGCAACGGAGGGCTTGCTATTGCCGAAAGGAAAGGAAAGGAAGGAAGGAAGAGAGAGAGAGAGAGAGAGAGAGAGAGAGAAAATAAAAAAGAGAAAGAAGAAAACGAAAGTCCTTGTGTGGAGGATGTGGGAGAGGTGCGAAAATCTTCACCGTATGATAACTGAGCTTAAAACTCTGAGACAGATGGAGCAGTGTTGCCGATTTATATGAGAGTGTTCAAGCTCTCCGGCAATTTGAAGGTGTTCTAAGCTAACTTCAGATATATCTTCATTGAGATCCCACACGGTGAGGTGAGGGGAGGTGTCCGAGGGCTTGGATTGTTAGAGACAAAAGTAGTTTGTCTCTTTGCCCTTCGATCGATCGTCACAGAAAGTCTGGTCTGGAAAGATGCCGCGAAAAAGTAGATGAGGCTGAATTTAGACTTTGCACATTGAAGACGTCTGCTTTCCTGTCTGTTCACGTTCCACGCTTTAAGATTGCGTGCCCACTTTTCCGGAATTCTTTCCGTCTTCCATGAACGCATCAAAAGCGCGTTGTCCTCAAGCTTTAACGCTGAAAAGGAATGTCGTAGAAGATGCAGAAGTTTGCGCTTTTCAATGTTCCATTATCTCCTGAAGTATTTGCTGCACAATTTCCCAGGGTTCAGATCATGCTCTCGATCCCGTACCCAGTCTCCGGTTTAATAAACAGCAGATCGATCTTGGAATTACATGGCAGGTTCATGGCGGTGGAAACAGTCCTCAGTGGGATCGAAGTGAGATCGGTGATTTTGGACAGCCCCGAGTCCAACATAAGACAAAATGAAATATGTCTGAGTTTAGTGCGTTAGTTCCGATACTGTACTCTGACGATATTACATTCTTCGGATCATCGGGATGAGTTCGATTGTCAGGACTGTGTCGCTCTCCTCCTCCTCGTCTGGGCATTGTGGCGATTTTGTTCCCTGCGTGCTAGATTCCTTGGCTGAAATCATACGGCCCATCAGTTCGGGGTCTGGTCATGACTAAGTCAAGCAGTTGAGCCCACACTCTGTTTACCGAACCTTGAGTCAACAAATTTTCCAGTTCTTGAACGTCCCGTACTTGAACTCCGACCATATCTCATTTCGGGCTCTCTTAAGAACAGTACATGTTCGATATTCTCACGATTATCGAATCCTTGTAACTTGTTGAATATGAAACCGCTTCTTACTGTTGACAACGACACGGCAAAAGTCACAATGAATTATCTGATGATAGGTAAAGTGAACTAGCCAACTACCATTTGTGGTTGAGATAAGATTGCTTTGTTTAGCGAAGCAAGGGAAGAAGCTGAATATGCAGTATCGATCGAAGATTGGCTGCACAAGTCACACACTTTTTGCTCACCCCTGCCTGTACTCTGCAACAAACGATTTCCAGCGCAATTTAAGAAATGTATATAAAAGCTTGAATGAGCACTGAGCTTTGAGCCTCGGCAATTAGACGGCAGTCGGACTGAGCAGGCAGAAATTTGTACAGATCAATGACTAGCACATGGAATTACATCGTCAACATTCCCTTTGGATACATCTTCCGGTGGCATTGTCACAGGCTGTGGTGTTCGAATCAACTTAGTACTCGCTTACCAATTCTCTTGGATATGTATTCTATCGATAAGGACGAGAGACACAAGCATTGGCATATAATAACTATCGAAGGACTGCTTTAGACTATTCAAGGCTCAGATGTTGTAAAGGCATCAGCGCAATCCGAGACGTGCTTAACATGGAACTGCGGACCACTGCAATACTGGAACAAGAAACTTGATATAGACGTTTCGAAAAGTTGTAAAGAGCTTTCTGTTCAGAACTGTCTACGTTTGAAAATTCTTTGGCTGCAGGCGATCCCAAAAATTGGTGTGGATGGCAATTCTCCGTGTGTGGAGTGTGAAGTCTCAGCAGTCTTTTCCTCTGTACAAATTGGACCGGTTCTTTACTTTCCTCGAAACAGAGCCTCGTCCTGTTTCAAGAACAGATTGAAGCTCATGATTCTGACTGAGTGTTTGCAACATTTCGTGTCAAATCTCATTTGACACGAATCATGTACCCCGACTTCTCTTTCGACAAAGCATTTTGGAAAATGCGATCACAGATTGTAACCATAAAGTGAATTCCTTGAAGAAAAAGCTGGACATCAGGATTTGCATACCAGAACGACTCTGTCGTTCAGCCTTTTCCTAGACGATTGGAATTGCAGTTGATGCATTGGGACCGGAAGCATATGCTCATACGGCTAAACATCCCTCTAATCGTGACCTACAGCTATCTCTCCACTTTCCTGCCATCAATCAGTCTTCCGATTTTCATTTACTTGGCTTTCTAGATTGATGTCAACTGACTCCTCTATAACCTTCCTCAGACTACCGTGATTTCATCTCGCTGGAAGTGACAGCGCAGAGGGTAGACATCCCCATTTACAAAGTATATGGCAAGACCATAGTTGTTGCTTGACTTGATTGATAAAGATGTATCCCAGAGGACATATATTCTACTTTGCACTTGAAGCTGTCTTAAAGAATACTTTCCATCATACTCACTGACTTCTATTATATGGGAAAGGAGCGAACCCGATTCACATGTGAATATCAGCAAGTGAAACGAAACAAGTATATTCATATTGATACGACATTCTTATGGCTGCTGTGGTCTGAAGCTCCTGCTATATTATCCTCTTTTATGCCAAGCCAGATGTCCTGGAGAATTAAATGAGCAGGGCCTGGCCTGGGTTGAATGAATACACTACTCTCAGAATCTTTGGTCCAACAAGGCAGATAGTTGTTCTGCAGCTGGATGTAGGATTCTCACTAAAACTACTCCAATGATTTTCTTTGGATGTCTCAATCTTGACCCATGCAATACTGCAAGCGTCGCCTTATCCTCTTGCACTCAAGGTTTTGCACTACAACTCTGTTTCGAGATTCCGCAAATCAATCCCAGTCGTTTTCAAATTCGTCTAGTTTTCGCAGTTGCAAGCCAGATGTTTTGTAACTACTCATTTTATTGCCCCTTAGTTCACGTTTTTCAGCGTGGCTACAAATGCATCACGTCACACGGATTCTAACATCTGTACAGTTATCGATCCATTGATGTGTCTGAAGAACTGGAAAAGAGATTGTAGGATAATCAAAGGTGCACGTTGGTAGAAACTGTGTTTTATACCTTATTCTGCAAGCCAGCTGTTGACCTGGAGCTACTTGCGGCTATTACAATCACTTTCGCCCCCTGCATTGCATTGAGCTAATCACATACTAGGATCCTCTATTAAGAATGCCAGCCTGATCTTTACCAAGCGACTGTACCTCCAAGCGAGATGGTTTCGTCTAATTTACGCCTGTATTAAATGATTTCCGATTCTCTTATTCCTTGTTAAATCGCATTCTTCGCATCAGAGAATACTCTCTCTTCATCTTTGTATGATCAATGTCTTAATGTCTTATAGAGCATCTGCAGAGTTCATGACCACTCCTCGATTGTACCAGGTCTGATTTATCACGTGATTGTTATCTCGTTGTCTGCAACGTAGTTTTCAGATTGCGGAATATTACCTCGCTTCCTGAGATTATTCGCGTTGCGGACTTTCACTTTAAAAATCGCATCGCCTTCATATATGCGTAATTCGTAGTCAGAAGTTTTGGCTGCGTCTTTCTCTAACCCAGTCTGCCAACCGATTATGTGTATTTCTGGATCTCCTCATGTCCACACGAAGCATCTCCAGCTGATTGACATGTAAGTGATGAGGATAAGTCGGGACAGCCACCTTCGGTTCAGCTGGGTGCGTTTGTAATCCAATCACCATCATAGTTCATATGCTCTAGACATAGAAGCACTTCATAGTCTGATTCGAGGTAGAGATTGCAGGTTGATCTTCGTTGCTTAAAATGTCATAATTGCAGTCGCAAAATTGAGGTATCTCCTTCACATCTTCTGGCGTTCTTGCTTGCAGAGTGTTGCATTGAAATTGCTTGCCATTCGTCAACTCAGATAACCGATCATAACTTTCAATGGTGTTTCATATCCTGTGATCTTGACAAAGAGTCAATTCAACGTTACTTCGGTAAGAAGAATCTCTCTCTGCTCTTTGTAGAAGCAACCACATTTACAGAGTGAGATCATGAATCCACACATTAAATGGCAATTACGAGAGGAAAAGAGATGCCCCTAAACGGTCAGAATTGTAAATTCCAAAAGTATGCTGGTCCTTGATGAGCAGGAAACCGGAAGAAGTCCTGGACTGAGTTTGTCGGGACGTCGACGAAGTATACGGCTGGGTGATGCAAGGTAGTCAGAATAATGAATTCATCCAGCGGCCTACACGATTCGTGCCCACACCCCACCCATCTGATTCTTCGGATCTCAAGCAGGACACCTGGTTTTACTCACATGAGTAAAACGAACTCGCCATCATTTCCAAAAAGAGCAGCTTCGAACCATCACAGCTGTAAGAATGAGATTTATTTTTACATGAATTCTTAATTCTTCGAATTCCCACCTGTCGACATTCACAAGCGAAATTTTCGTTTTCCATATAATCTACTTTCAGTTGTTTCAAGCATTCACAATTCAATAATTCGTAAGATTCACAGTGGAAGAAAATAGTGGGTAGCTGGCCAGCGCTATCTCAGATTTCAAGCTTCTGAGTCTCTGTCTTGTTTATGCAGCTGTCAATGGATGGACTGAACATTGTGGATGAATCGGCAACAGGTTGTGAATATGATTCTTTAGAAGGTTATTGGCGTTCATGCGACGGCTTTATCAAAGACACATGAATCAGCGTCGATCGAGTGTTCATTGAAGTTAGTGCAGATTGAAAGTATGCAAAGGTGCCGAAACTTGTCTGAACAAAGAACGAATACATAGTCAGAAGGTTTTCTAAATTTTGGTGGTGGATAGGGATCAAGGCATTGCATACAGAAAACAATGCATAAGGAATAAGATGGCGCTTCCAAATATATACACTGACCAGGTTCGAGAAATGGAGTAATCGTTAGTACCCTCTATTCTGAGGACAGCCGATCAACAAATGATAATAACATGGATATAAATTCTGCATGAAATATGCTACCTCAGCAGTTCTAGTGGTACAGAACAAAAAAAGCTTTTGCTTGGCACAGTAGGAGAAGTACATGTGTCATTATTTACAAGTAGATAAGAAGGCTTCGTTTCATCAGTTGTTATTAATATCCGTGATAATAATTTGCCATTGATTTGGTAATTACTACTGAGATTCATGAAATTTGTAAATACATTGATGTAAGAAATCAGTCTGTTTGAGAGGTTGCTAAGTCTGACCTGGGTTATTGAATTTATTCACTACATTAACCCACCGTGCATAGACAGGAAGACTTGAAGATGCGATTTGATAAAACGTTCTCGAACAAGGGCGACATGTTCCTGAACGATCACGACGGCAATCACGGTACTGTGAAATCCACCGACTCCATCCAAATACTACGTACATCGTTGACCTTGAACAGGGAAAAGAGATTCTGACGTGGAACTCTGGTCTACTAGTGGAAGTCTATCATAGACAGGCAGGAAAAAGCTGCCTTGGAGTCTTTCGAGAATCGTGGGCTGCATCGCCGTATGAGTAAACTCCGCCATAGCTAAAATTAGCAGATGTGTGTTTATTTAGAGTGTTGCTACGTCTTTCAAAAGATAGAACTTTCTAGAGCAGGTGTTCATCCCGACAGGTATGTTGACGGTCATCGAGAGCAGATTTTGGACTACAGTAAGATAGGACTGTGGTGCTGTTGTTGCTGGAGTGAACGGCTTCAAGAGCTTGTAGTCTCGCCTAATGTCCACCTGTTTAGGCCTGCATGTGGGTTCAAATTTATCTTATCTACTGAAGACTTGTCTTGGATATTTTGTTAGCAATCTATCCAAGACAAGATCTTAACAGAGGTTCAGCTTGATCTGCTTTTGAGTAGGACTTAGTCTTCTGGAAAGTGTCAGATCATCATGAACATGCCTTATGACCATAGTTCCGAATCCAGGTATATCGCTCATAACCCTATGCGTGCGGTAGTTTAGGTTCTGCTCAAAGTTGGCTGCAACCAAATTAACTCGAAACTTTCACTGCCATCAAGCTAGGTGTTATCGGGTAAAGGTGGTCGACTCCCTGAATGTGTTTGACAAGTCTTCAGTTTGTCTTCGTAATGCAGGACCAATCATTGAAGCTTGACCCAATCGGAACGCGCATGCACCGAGGTTTCGTCTGATTAAACTGGTGAGCAATGCTGCATGCACGGTATGAAAGGCCACGAACAAATACAATCAGATTTCCTGGATTTACTGGGCACAGTAATGTACGTTGAAATAGAGATAGTAACACATTGCCTTGAGTCAGTATGTGTTACCCAACGATTGTGGGTGTAGAAGGATTTTGGACAGAGCATAGTCGAGAATTCTCTGTGGGGGATATCAACCGTATAAACTTAGTACCTAGAATGGTGGAATCGTATCAATTGAGATTGAGCACATCCGCATTGTGTAAGATCTCCCGACAGACCTCAATACTCCATGTGTTCGCAGTTATAACTGTCAAAACAACAATCGACTGTTTACGGTTGGTCCATATACGAAACTAAGTGATAACCAACTCTGTTATCCACATATCCGACATAAACGTAGTGAAGGTAATGTTTTCAGTCTAGCTCTGAATCATCGAAGCAAATCCGGTAAAATGGCCGTTGAAGGAAAACCACTCCAGCCATATTAAAAGTTGGCCTGGATCTGAGTGTTCCAAACCCATCAACTAGCGGATATCTGTAATATATAGAGCATTTTTCGAGATTACAGATTTTTTCCGACATACATTTTTGAAACGCTTTTTCGAGATGTGACAAGTACTGATTTTTGCGATCGATCTAATGCAACAAACACTTCGTAGTACTAAGTTCTGTATTCAGGTTAATCCAATACATTAAGGTACTCCTGCCGTTAAGGAATTGAGAGGCTCAGTGAAGTTGACAGATTTCGATAAAAAGCGATAAAAAGCTTTCACTTGTGACTTGCGCAAACATTGGAGCCTAGAAAACGGTTCCTCATCGGACTGCTGTTTCGAAGCAAGTTATCACGGGTTATTTACTACTCTGATATCGATCTACCAAAGAACAGATGTGGACAGGATGTAAACTCTCAATTCAGCATAGACGCGTCATGGCAGACAAACTTCCATACCTGGTCAACAAAAAGTGCATGTGCATGTGGACATAAAACTTTAGCCTTGAAACAGATAACAAGTCGTACCTAGCTTGAATTGATTGGCTCTGTACTTCTGTAGGAAATCAACAATCCGATTCTGGTGTGTTGGATGGTTTCCAATTATAGTACCATAGCTTGTGCTAACTTGATCCAAGCATTTGAAACTCCGTGTCAACGAGTAACTATTGCGCTGCAATTTCTTGGTTGATCAAGTCAAATATGACAGTTCAGAAATGAGCACGTCAAGATGAAGATCGTGCTATGGTCGGCAGAAAAATCAAAATCGTTCGTGTGAAATCGTTCCACGCATCTCAGCTTTTCTGCTTCTCACGCGTCATGTCCTTCTAGCTCGTCAATCTTCGAAAGTCGTGGCTTCTATTTAGTCTAATCGCCAGAGAGGTATAAGTACTCATGTTGATGATCTAAAAATCTCTCAAATACATATCACCGTTCCAATTGATTAAACAAAATGTCAGGGGGAAGCTTTGCGAAATGGATTCTTCTACTGACCCTCATGTCTCACACGACGCGAATTATGTGTGCTAGTCTACCAAAGGATTTTGGAGGTGGATCCGATGCCTTAACCCGGATCGTTCAGTTGGAACATAGTTCTGCTTTAGACTTGTTAGGCTGATCAATTTTTGATGAAAAGGCTGTCAATTGACAGTGAACAGGTGCATTTCTGATCAGTCGACTGACGAGAAGTAGTCAACTAGAATGCATTGGGCAAACGAGGAAGTGATTCTGGATGGTACCAGTACACAGCTGATGCATGTCACGACTATGGATGCTGCAGGAAGCAAACGGAACGCATGGCCGGAGTATAAGGGGCTGGAGGTCGACGCAGTTCTGGATCTGCTCAAGCAAGAAGATCCAAAGAACAACGTGTTTGTGCAAAGACCCGACTCGTATACGACCAGGCCCCGTCCCAGCGCGCCTGTAAATCTGTCGCAGGACATCTGGCTCTATCCGGATGCAAATGGCATTGTTGCCATCATCCCCAAACGAGGATTGGAGCATCACAGCCGTAAGAGAAGACTTGATTTGCCTTCGGATTTTTAATAATCTCTAGGCGTTCTTTTACTGGTGTGCGAATCTCTGGATTTCCCGCTAATGTATGTCTCACGCTTGTGCAGCTGTAAGCGGATGGACAGAGCTTGTTGGTACGGACTGGAGAGAAGCCAAGGCAGCCATTCTGCGTGAGATCATCGGTGTGTTGGTCGTTTATGGACGAGAAGGATTTCCTCGAACCAAGGATTTCAACTTCAACCGTGTGTTCCTTGAAGTGGGTCCAGATGGCAAAGTTGCCATAGCTCCGAAGCTTGGCTGAGAATTAATGAGCAGATCGTAAGCGATGGCATCTGTTTAGGTCTGATTTCTGATCGGACTAGGATGGCAAAGAAACTGCAGCTTGCCACTCTTGTGTAGTTTCTTCTTACAGATAAACAAATCTAAGAAGTCCTTCCAATCACATCAGAGTCATCCTCAGCAGATTCTTAACATTGCTTCATACATGGAGGAATGGCGTTTATGCCTCTGCGTCCATAAGCCATAGCCACTCACTCTAACAGCGTATTCAAGAGCTCAGAGATGTGGTCACCAAGATTTCCATTGGATGGATTTTGTTCAGGATCTCAAGACTGTCTGTCGTTGTGATGCATCGAGAGATGTCCGATGATTCCAAGATGTTGCTAAGAATTCTATCATCTCACGCGAAATTGGTGGATGACAGCACGATGAAGACCTGATTGCAGGTTGAGAAATATCTGCCGAAATACACATACGTCGCTGAGATTCAAGCGGACGAATTCAATGTCTCGGCCTTTCCTAGTCGGCACAGCGGTCTAAAATTCACCAGTCGCTGGACTCTCTCTCTCTGGTTGATCATTACACTTCACAGTCTGAATTATCTACCTGTGTATTGCTGCAATCCTTAAAAAATCGGAGAGCGCACAGTGCAAGCGAATCGGGACAATACCCTCGAGAGTAGCTTTTTTATTTCTTTCTCCTTGTGGAAGAAACCTCAGCCACGAATGCGCGAGACACCACATCTGGAGAGCAGTCTTCTGAAGGAGCCACTCCAAGCCCTGGCAAACCTGTGCTCACTCTCACAGCTGTCTAAGTCTCTCCTCTGCACCTCTAAGCCATCATATGAAGAAACTCTACAGTCACTAGCCAGATACGGTCGCCAGAAATAACAGCGCCATTCTTCAACCTCTCTATCCGAACTTTGATAAACTTCAACCGATATGCCGCTTCTGAATGATAGCAGTCGACAATTGAATTGGTGTAGTGAGTAAGTAAATGACGTCAGTGCTTGAATCGCAATCAAGCGTTCAGACTTTGAAATGCCACGTGAACTTGATTGAAAAGAGTCGAAAATTCTTGGAGCTCAAGTGGAAAGAAGCGAATTAGTGACATGTTCAGGCCTTAAAGACAGTTGGAACTTCCTGATTTCCTGCACGAGCAGGAATCTTGAGATCCGACTGACTTGTACATGGTGCAGGAGATAGTGTGAAGACAATAGTACCGCTTTTGTTTGCAGCATTAAGATACAACGATCAGATTGATGGAGGATATTTTCGTACAAACATGAATGCGGATAGGCTTATAGTCAGGAGGTTCAAGCACGCGGGGAAGAAACCAGCAGATGGAATGGCGAGTGGTAAAGGAAGCTGGATGTGAGAGATAGTCGGAAATCATGGCTATAGTAAAAAGAGACTAGATGAAAGTCATGAGAGTGAGCCATTATGGCAGGAATTTGACCTTCGGTGGTGATAGCAGGATGATGCATTTCGACGACTTGGTGTACCTTCCTCGTCTTGAAGTGGTATTTTGTTCTTAGAGTTGGGAGATGAAGTGAGAGTGTTCGGAAGACAAGTGGAAAAGTTGAAAGTAGCGTGCTCCAGAGAGATGAGATGGAAAATGTGACATGAGTTCTGGGGTTGTTTCAGGTTTAAGAAGAGAAGACCAACAGTTTTGGTCTACATCACACCTTTTTCGCATCGGACGTATCTGTGTCGTTGGACTTATATAGTAAGATATTTGATGTTATATTAAGGAATTTTTTATTTAATAAAAAAATATGTGTTAGTTTTTAAAATTGATATATGATCAAGATTTTTTTTCACGAAAATAAGTTTAAAATTCATATTATACATCCATTTGATTTGAATAATGATTTAATAATTTATTTTGAGATTGAATCAAGTATATCAAATTCGTTTGTCAAACCCAATAAAAGATATGATTTTACCACTTATATCCTTCCATGCAAATCAAATTGAAAATATTTATAATTTGTTATGAATCATATAAAAAATTTATATAAATTTTTTATCCACTACGACAAATATTTTATCATTTATTTCTACATTAAATCTGAATGGAACTTTTATATTGATCGTACGTTCAATGATGTCTTATAATTTATAATCAAAACCTCAAATAGTTATAAATGTTAGCATTAAATTATGAAATTATATGTGATGGTATGAAATCATATAAAAAAACTACAAATGCAAAGAATACCTCTGTAATAAATTTGAATTTATTACAATAATATATTTATATGTGAGCTAATATACGTTAATATTGTATATACGTTATTATTGAGATGAAACTCAATAATAATAATATCATATGTTTGTAAATTGATATTACTGTAAAAAAGTAAAAATTTCGTTTAAATATGAAATAAAATTTTCAAAATGATAAATTTCTAAAATGGTTATATGAATTTTTACAAATTTTATCAACAAATATTAAAATATAAATTTTTTTAAAAAATTTCATTCTCAATTACATTCTACTCTTAATGGATCGATGGCATGTCAGATAACACTCACAAGCTTATAGATTATTTATGTGTAACTTTTAACTAACACTTTTATTCTCTACTTATTGAACATACATATAGTTGATTGTGACGACTATGTTTATTCTAGTATAATATAATTAAATTTCTATCATGGATAATTTTTAATTTAAAAATCATTACAAATCTCACTTCTTTTAAAATCCAATGTTTAGTTATACAATCATTCAAATGCATAAACTAGATTTTTAGTTAATGCATCTTTGATTTCCAAGTTGATTTCAATGGTAAATTTTTTTTCATTGAATGAAAGATGATCTTTAGTATATTTATGATATAGAATGTATTTCTTGAATATTTTTTATTTAGAAATTTTCATGAAAATTAACTATCAAACTAAGTTAAAAAAATGATGGTGGTTGAAATTTGATTAAGTACTGACATGTTACTCATGAGGTACACTATTAATTTTCATATAAAACATAAGTTTATACTTGTATGACATTTCATAAACACGTTGCAATATTAAAAAACCATCAATGAATTTATAATAAAATTTTAGTGTTCCTAGCATAGATACGTTTTTTTGAGATTATCAAACATGATCCATTATTTAAAAATCAAATTTTTACGATAAACATCTGTATGCTATTTTTTTCAATTTTGAATAATTTATCAAATTCTCCTTGGTTTGATGTAGTACTATTTGAAGTTTGATGTAGATTTGTGAAAATGTATAAAATAGAAACATTACACAACTAATAAAAAATATATATTTGAGTACTGTTGAACTTGAATATTTGGACGGAAGTTTCAATCTCCATCTCTCGAGTTGATTGTACCTCTACTTTCTCATTTTCTAACGCAAAAATCTTGTACTCATTGACTCAAATGTTTCAACCTGCTTTGTATATTTCTCTATTCTTGATTTTTCAAATCCTTCATATCAACCATCATAGTATTAAAACCTCATGTATGTCAAATGATGTACTATGCTTTCTCATATTCATTTTAATATAATATATGCTTTCTAATTATCCAAAATTTTTATAAAGAAAAAAAATTTTATTTTATTTTATAATGACTCTATAAATTTTTTCATAAATTTTATTTTTCACTTTTTTTTTCTTAACATATTGTACTAATTTTTTCTTATATGTTGAATCAATAAATAAAAATACTTAATTCTGTATATTGCTTTTGGATTTGGGGTTTTGGATATTTACTGCAATAATCAATCATAACTCTATTGAAGATATACATCTATAAATGATAAAGATTTCTATTTACAAATTCGAGAAATCAACTCTTTTTGGCTTCAGCATTAGGGAATGCTGAATTGAGATTGACTAATATATAAATGGTATATGGATCAAGCCCTTGGGATCTGAAGGGTCAAAATTATGAATCTAACTACATACTTCATCATCATAAGCGGAAGATGCGCTGCTCGACCTTCAAGCAAGATTCCTATCCAGGAGAAATGACACACAAAACAAGGAAAAAAAAATGTAGATCAATAGACCAATCACTTTTAATCATAGGTTCAAGTCAGGAGCTCTCTATGAAACTCGTCACCCGCGACCTTCTACATCTTGTTCATAGACTATCATCCCGATCGTTTCGACCTAAAGTGACATGGATTAATTAACTGTATGAGTCTGGGTAAAACCTGTGATTTCAGACAGTACGCGAGCTCACTATTCCAATTGATGTGAACAGTGGACTTTATTCGTCTCTGTGAAGCTCATCAATGAGCTGAACATTCTTCGCGATGATGCACGAAATATCCACTTCTTCACTATAATGTAATGAAAGAAGGAGACTCAGATTCGGAAGTGAGCGCTGTATCTGCGTCACTGTTTACCATTTTTTCTCTTATACGTTGATTTCGACTTCCAGAAAGCTTCTGCATAGTATCTTTCGTGGACTCTTATGCCATTCAAGTTGTTGAGAGGGTGTTGAAACTTCTGTCACTTGCGATATTTTATTTCTCATGTTGGTATGTAGAGAACTAGTGCAACTAAACAATGAATACACTTCGTGTGGGTACCCACAAATTTGGGTTCATTTAGAAAACCAAAATGGATGGGACATCAAGTTGATAGCTCTTGTAGCTCTCCAGCACAGTCATACAACTAGACACTCAGTATTGTCAGTGCGTTCAGGGCATTGATGAGAAATCTGAATCTCAATGTCTCATCATCTCAGACTTCGATGACACTGGGACACACAAATAGTGACCATCTCTTTCAAAAGCGCGTGTATACAGAGCAGCAGCTTTCAGAATCATATACTACCATATCCCTACTGGAATTACAATCAAATGTTATTAAAGTGAATCTTCTGAGTCGACTTTTGATCGTATGGATTTTGATCAGACATGTAATTCAACGTGGATGGAAGTTGTATGAAACAGAATGCTGAGAGTAGAGATAGATATGCAAAATAATCTCTATTGGACCAGATTGACTACTTGTTTGGACGCTCAGTAGTAGCTCTTGCTCGGAATGAAATCTATGAGGAAAAGTGATGAATTTCTGGAATAGAATCTAAGCCAAAGCAAGAGTATACTCTACACATTGACACAGTTGAGACATGAAGCTCACATGGTCGCAATGATGGACTGTTTTCTGATTGATGCTTGCGTATGAGGCAAATTCCATAAATACGACAACACAATGCTTGGACGAATGTATGGACTCCGTTACTCCATCAGCAAAATATATTTTCTTCTTGCACATCGGGTTCAATGAATATGGTGTGGTACAGATGATCATGATCAGGGATGATTCGACGACGATGATTCGGAAGCCGTGGCTGGACAGAAGGTCAAAGCCACCGCATGATCCGAGAAACACCGAAGGCAAGCATGTGCAGCATATGCTACAGCAGGGACCACGGTCGAGAAAGCAGCTGGCCGGCAGTTTATAAGATACATTCGAAGCTGAGCCTGAGCGTTTGAGGGTTAATCAGCTCACAAGCCGGTTGCCATGACAGTGGCTTCATGGTGTGGGGTGAGCGAGCAGGCCTGGGTCTGGACGGCGCAAGAGTGTAGCTTTGTAGCTTGATCGTGTCTAGACCCCTCTCGCTCATGACGATTCCCGATAACCCCTATCACTTTGGCACAAGGTTTGAATGACGAGGAATTCTGCGATGTGTGGTTATCGACGTTCTCACAAACATATGAGTGGAAGCTCTGTTGGATTGTGACAAGTTATCATGGTTCTAAGTTGTTCGATGGTTGCAGAGAAGGGAATGCATGGCCCCGCGAAGAGCATTAAACGATTCCGGAAGTAACGATTCCGGAAGTAAGCTGGGGACCGAGTGAGCTGCCACCTAGAGCATGATCGTGATCGACACCATCGTATCCTTTTCAGAGACCAGACCATGGACTCTGTGAGTGCACTTTGGGCGTACGTCGCTTATAGTGATAACAAGGAGAAGGAAGCTAGAAAGGACGATCCAGAAATGATCTTTCCCGATCAGCAAGAGTAAGAAGACTGGTCAGACTCTAAGTTCCGATATTTCCTGTATTTCCTGTATCTTCGGTTCATATACATGGGAAATTGTTAGGTGTATTGGAAGAAGGCCAGAAACTTTAGCGTCTAAGCTCAATGGCGGCCCATTATCAAGAAAGTGACGCAAATGTGTGGATGATCAACAAACGCGTCATCCTTGGAAGCCTGGTCTCTGGGATGTACGAGAGGTTCAGAGGCAAACCTGCACCAGTATACCAGGAATGGTGGACCAAGGTGCACTATGATCTGATCCCGTTGGAGTCAGTATTGCCTAGGGAGAAGCTTGATCTCTATGCAGCAGGTGCGTGTTGTATTGGACTCACATGATCCATCTTGATCTGAACCCCATCTGATTCCGACCTTGCTTGACTGCGTCAAAAATTATGTGGTTGTGCAGAACTGGAGAATGAGCATAAAAACAAGTACTTCGGTGTCTTCCGACGGAATAAAGAGAGTCCTTCAGCCGAGGCTCCAAACTGGGTAGTCGCCATCCGGGGAACTGAGCCCCCGACTCCGGCGGATCTCAAAAACGATTTCAAGATCGTTCTGGAGAAACTGCACTCTTCAAAAATGATCCCAATTCTGCATGCTGTGGTCTGGCATCTCGGAAGGCAACATGGGAACTGCAACGTGAACGTGACGGGTCATTCACTCGGGGCCGCAGCGGGCTTGCTGGTCTGTCGAAGGCTGGCACTGGAGGGCTGTCTGGTCGAGGGCCACTTCTTCAATCCTCCGTTCACCACTCTGGAATCGCTGGCGCGCACCTGTGCACATGCTGTGGAACATGCTTTTTTCGGGGCATTCCCGGCCGCAAAAAGCATGGAAAAAATCCATGACGCTGTTGAGTGGCTCGAAGGCAAAGTTTTCCATGCACTGACCGACACCGACAAGAGAAAGAATGAATTAGCCGAGCTCAAGAAACTGGCCGAAGCCAATTGGTCTCCGTATCTCTATGTGAACAAATATGACCTCCTTTGCTGTAAGTTTCTCTCACCATTCAGGAAATCAATCCACGGAACCGTCGACAAGGGTCGGAAGAAGTGGTATACTTCCGGGAACGAGAGTAGCGAGAAGTGTCTGGGAGAGACGGAGTCGTTCGTTCTGTTTCCTTTTGCAAATTTGATTGTAATTGGGACGTACTGGCTCCGGCCCATTTCAGCACACAGGTTGAGGAACTGGATGGATCCACATGTCTCATGTAAATTCGTGCCGGCCAAACTCATCGAATGGCCTTAGATCTAGAAGGGCATGAGCCGAAGGCCGAAAACTGATTGGACCTTGCAGGGCTAAGAGTACCGGAGCCTCAGCACACTCCATGTTCCAGTGCTCCCTGCACTGCGTTCCCGACACAGACGAGATCGGGGCGAAGCCTCCGATCAAATAATTTCTCATCAAGGATTCCACAACCACTAGTGCTTATATGAGGATCTGATAGTAAAAACTGAAAGAAGTGTGTGATGTGAAAATTTTGCGTGTGTAGCATAGAAGTTTGTCGTAAGTCCTCCAAGGCCTCTGTCATTCTGATTGTCCACTTCGTCGGCGGCGAGGAAGTGGAGAATCAGAATGAGCTTCAGAACTCCGAAGCCCTTATATTAGAAAGCTCCATTGCCCAAAATTCTTTTCCAGGGATAAAAGTTGGGTCCAGTTTCGATCCACCTCGGATATTGACATAGTTGCATCACATGTAGTGTGCACTTTAGTGTGTTAATGTCCGCTTTTAGGCCATTATTAGAACTTCACATGAAGCTCGAATCTAAAGTCAATTTCTCAAACCTCTCAAATGTAGTATGCTGCTTGGTAGTTTTGAAGGATACTGTACTGAGACTGTATCATAGCTCCCGCCAGTTAAACGGAAGAATAACTGGGGAGGTGATTACGGATAGAAAAACCGAGAGACATGGAACGAAGACTAGATCACAAGCATAGACGATAACATCTTCTGCGGTACAAATTAAAGGCCATCGAAGTATATAGAGAACCCCACCAACCGCCCAAAGTACATAGATTCTCTCTTTCTCTCTCCTGAAAAATGGCTATGTATCCTCTATTGTAAATGCTACTTATGTATATAAAGGTTTAAGCTTTAAGCTCTCTCCTTAATAAAATTTTTATATACATATCATAAATTGATTCATTATCAATTGTTAAAAATATGATAATGTAAATTTATAAACAAATGTTCTAAATTGAATTTTTTAAGATTTAAATTTTCTCCATATAAAAACGATACAAATTTATTTTGATAGATAAAATTCTATATACTAAAAAAATAACGTTAGAAAAGATGAATAAAAAATATGTTATACAACGATCTTGAGTATGCAAAACGTTAAATCTTTGACATGCATAAAACATTGTTTGTTGTTTATTTTTCAAACCATTTCATATTTCACTTGAAATGGCATTGAAGATAAAAGGATCTTAGACTTTGTTAAGATAAATCATGCAAATATATATAATGATTAAAAATCTTTTTATTTGAAATGTCATATTTCTAGAGATCTATGCGTGTGAGTCTTATATAGCATAGACTTGTAATGTATTTGAGCAATTTTTTAGTGAAAGTTTTGCAGTGTATAAATCAACTTTTTGATTTCTCAACAATAAAAAAAATATCTGAAATTTTATCTAAAACATTCAATATCATAGATTGGGTTTTTCAAAAATTAAAAACCAATATCAATATACAGGAAGTCTAAAGTTTGGTTTCAATATGCTCAAGAATAATGAAAGATTTCATATCATGAAAACATAAATTTTGATTATCTCATGACACATAATTTGGAAAATTTTACTTTTTTTTCTTAAAACGTATATTATTTCAAAAATTCTACCCAACTGCAAAATAGTTTTGAGGTTAGAGTCAAATGCAATCTTTTGAAAAGAATTGATTTAAATGAATAGTATGCTCAAAAGATAATCCTATAATCAAGATACAAAATCACAACATGTTGAATCCAATCCGTATGAAATCATAATGCGATACTTTTAGTTTTGTTGCGTCATATCTAAACTTAAATTTTACCTATTATGTCTTGGGCTATAACTCACATCGGCTCCTAATTGAGGTTTGGTCGTCTGTTCATTAGAGTTTCGGCCATGACTACTTAGTTCCGCAAGTACTTAGTTCCGCCATGACTACTTAGCTCGGCCTTCCGAATATTATCATTAGAGCAATCTTCGGTTGAAAGATAAGTCTGCTGGTCAATTTTTTGTTCCATGCGTGATGAAAGCAAGAGAGCAAAAGTTGTTTGAGGAGCTGCTAATGCCATTGGAATTGCCAAGGAGACAACTGATTTTGTGACATCCAAGTTGCTTGACGATAGTTGCAAAACCGGAGATTAGGAAAAAAGTTGACACAAAATTGGATGGTTTGTAAATTGGCAAATGCAAATGTTTCAAATCGCAGCATAAAATTAACGAAAATCTAAAAAGAAGTAAATAAGTGGAAAAGAAAAAAATTTCTCCAACGATACAAGATAAATCTTCAAGTGTTTGAATGATTGAGATGACCATCACTAAGTCTAGGAAGCTGGATACTATATAATCAAATAGTACGGACTTGATAACTATTTGCTCAAGAATACACCAGTGAAGAACTAGCTTAATGTCATGTATCTTGGCAAGACGTTGAGGTCAAAACAATCTACCTAGAAGGATAACAACTAGAGTCTACATAACCTTTAATTCTTGGATAAATAGTAGCTTATGATGAATAAATCTATTGTTTGAAACTCTTGAGCAACGATTTTTCCTCAGAAAGTTATTAAATAGTTTGTATGCATTGTTGAAATTAATGAGTTTGAAGATGAAAGATTTTAAATAAAAAATTAGATAATCACGTTGATGCATTTGATGATATTGTCATTGAACTTCAGAATCTTGATGAATATCCAACTAAGGACAGGTAGGCTCTTCAATTTCTCAATTCATTGTTTGTCTCCTAGTAATTATTGTCATGTGTCTTGTTTCATTGTAATACGTAAATAATCATTTACAAGAAGGTTGTAAATTCTTTGTTGATTGACAATTTATAACAAAAAATGATATTGTCAGCTCCTTCATACTCTTTTGTTAGATACAACATTAATGAAACTCAAGATCGATCACATTTATGGAATGACAATGATGGTGAGCGTTTTATATCCAAAGATATATCTAGTCTAAGGATAATTTCTTAGAGAGTAAAACCATGATGTGTTGGAAATGTGGCAAGAATGATCATTTAAAGAAAGAATGATGTGTGAAGATCAGAATTAGTAATCTTCCATTTTTCAATGTGATTCAATAGTTTGATCTTAAGTAAGATGAGTTGTTGGAGTATGTACTATGATGATAGAGTTATGTTTCATACATTTTATCACAAATTATTGATGATGTATGATGTGTAGAAAGTGTTAGTTTTTATTAAATCTGTTATATTAGAGTGTTATTTTATATTTTGTCAGCATGAAACGCTTGAATGTTTATGCAAAATATCAATCCTATACTAATGAGGATATAATATATGTTAGTATTCAAAAGTTGACTTATGTTCAATATGAATCAAACTTACATTGATTCAAATTAGATTTATACTCAATATGAGAAGTAATATTTTATCTCTTTTGAAATATTATAGTGAAAAAGCCTTGAGTGAAGATCTAAACTGTTGACTCAAACATATGTTTGAGGCAAGAGTACGTGATAAAATTATGTTTGAAGGTCATAAACACAACAATTTACATATGCTAGAGGGCACAAATTCATCTATAATGAAGTCAATTCTATTAAATCTTGAGCTAAGATGTTTCATGTGTGACATTATAGACTAGGAGACATGAAAAAAAGTATCTTGTATTTCCTAGACAATATAAAATTCTTACTTGTCATAGTTAAAGTTTATTTAGAGATTTGCAAATATTTTGTCATGAGCAAACATCATAGTCAAGCTTTTGATGTTGGAAATAATATTATTAAAAAATTTATTTGACTATGTCTATAATGATTTATGAGACGTTCTTTAAAAGTCTCACTCCCTGAAAGGTTCTTCTATACATCATTCATTGATAATTATTTGAGATTTTTGTGGATTTATTTTGTCACGATTAAGTTTGAGGTTTTTACAACTTTCAAAAAATAATAAATCTAAGTTGAAATTTAGACTTAACACAAAGTTAGATAATTACGATTGTCAACATGTATACTTCTAAAAATTTTCAAAGAGTAAAGATTTTTACTTTATAACATAATGCTCTTTCTTAAGATATTCAATTAAACACGGTTGGAAAAAGTGCGCACTATGTTGAGCTAATCTGATGTATCATATGAATTTTGGGTTGAAGTTTTTAATTAGTACACTATATTTGATATATTTTTCTCCATTTAATGCAAATAATTTGTTGACATCATTTGAATTGAAACACAAACGGATGATTAATTATAATTTTTAAAGAGTTTTTTATAGTAGAATTTGTATTCTCATACTTAAAAAAATTTGTACTAAGTTATATCTTACATCTAAGTGGTGGTTTTTTGGATACGTTAGTGGTGTGAAGGTTTATAGACTATAATATCAATAGCTTGTAAATTTATTGTTAGTAGTAATGTTTCTTTAAATAAAACCAGAGCATTGAAAGAGTAAGAAAGTTTTCAAAATTGTGTATTATAAGATTGGATGTTGTATGTGTGAAGTATAGTTAGAAATAGCCAATGAGTTAATCATTCTTAGTTTAGATATTATTAAATTAATTAAGTTATAATTATGTTTAGTTATAATGTCTTTACTTGACTGAATAACTAAAGAAATTCTAGAAGATTTGAGTGAGCATTCCTATTATGTCTTGTACAAAAGTTTAGATTTTAAAAGAAAAAACTTTTGATTTCATGTTTAGTTTTGATTGGTTAAATTAAGTAATGGAGACTTCATTAGTTAGACTAAGTCTAGTATTAACTTTGTGGCAAGTGTAGGTTCTAGAAGTTGGAAAGACACAAATGACATGTAAACATCTCAATCTAGGGATTATTAAACATCTAGAAGGTTTAGGAAATCAATGGCATGTTGCCACACATTGGTAACTAGTCAAATCACTATGATTTATCATCGTAAAAATAAATTAGATAGAATTACCATTTGTTATTTTGATAATTTCTCAAATAATTTATATAGAGAGGTAGGGAAGAGACTTTCAAGGAAATTTATATGTAAAGACTTGTTTAATATATGAAAGAGTGATTTTTTTTCATCATCTTGGAATGTAGATGTGTATGTGTGAATTTGAATGATGAATTGAAAGAATGTGTGAGAAGCTATTTGAGATATGAGTATGAGAAACATTACTAGTCTTCTAAAACCATGATAAATTGTTGCAAAGCTATTTGAGTGAAACCTGAGTGAAAATAAGACTAGAGATTGCAGCATTAACAAAGAAAAATTTCCATTCACGAATGTTGTTAATAGAGAGATTAATCATTACATTATCAATAATGGTTTGAATTTCACTCAAATTTATCTTAGATGGCTTTGTCGAAGTTCATTATGCTTCTAGAAGATAAAAAATTTCCAAGTTGCCCCTTGTTTCAAACACACTTTCGCATAAATTTTTCACTTATCATTTAATAATAAGCACTTGTATTTACATTGAAACAATTGGTGCAATTCAAATTTAAATTGATGAAACAAGTACTCACACAATAAATTATCAAATTTTTGTTGAATATTTCTTTTCAATCTCTCTGTATATATTACTTGAAAAGTTATCATAGTAACAAATAATAATTATCTTTTAATTTCATTTGATGAAAATGAATCATGATAGATTTGATTTGTGAAAACATGACATTGATCTATCTAAATCTTCTAAAAGCTTCATAATCTTTATATTAGATTGGCACCATACCATTTGATAATTTCAAAACTTTTAAACCTTCATTTGTCATTAAGTCAATTGTGAAATTTCCATAATTTAGCCAAATTAATCAAAATTGACATGTAGTGAACATATTTACTCCTTGGAATCTAAACTTTGTTAGAAAAAAAATTTATAGTGCTCAATCAGATCTTCTGAAAAATCATTATT